AATGAAAAATATAGCCTCGGTGATATTAGAAGAATAAGAAAGATCTCGGTAGACATCGAAATGTTATTTTGTTTTTCGTTGCATTATATTTTAGGTTACTCGATAACATCGCTAGATGAGGCTGAATAATTTCAAAATTTGATATTATACCCAGATAAATCGTATAATCTCGATTGTTTTTCTTTCGAATGAGACATCAGTAAGTTTTCTATAGAAATCTTTGTAAGAAACCCTATTCGTTTGCTATCGAGTTTTATTTTAAGAATGAAGTCGAAGTATTGTGCGATGATAAAATGCTCTGTCATCGTGCAAAGAATCAAACGGAGAATAAAATTTAAAAAGAAAGTCACAAAAAATCATGAATATTAACGGAAAATTTAATCATCAACTAGAGAAGCTCTCTGGAATGAGTAACTAATTACAGCAATTTATCTGATTGTTTTCCTACAGATTTCCTGCCATTTTGACTTTTTAATTAGTAATATTCTCATTAGCAAATAATGTAACGAGCTTGCACATGCACTCTTTTCAAATTAATAAAATTTTTAATGATTACAAAGTGTCTCAATATTAGCGTTAAAATAGAGCCGCATTATCTTTTTGAATAGAAATTCCACCGAAATGTTTTGACGAGAATTTGATGGAAGATCATTAGAAAGATCAAATAAGATTTTATGATTTATCTCCAGTGAAGTATATATATTTTACTAAATTTTACGGTCATTCCGACATTGAATACTTTGATAATAGTGAGGCTTCAGGAACCGGCTAGTATATATTACGATCTACCAAAATATGTTTTTTTTTCCAAAGAAGGAATGAACGAGAATCCGCCAATCGACAGACTCTCAGGTTGGTATCGATTACAGTAGAAAATTCAACGCGAGTGCTCTTTTTTTCTTGATTACAGAGTAGATTGACGTTCAAAAGGCAATTCAAATAGAAAAAGCCTGAAATTGTTTCTAACAATAAAGTCACAGAAAATATTCTTCGTTAAAAAAGCCTTCAATGAATTTTTTTCTAAATTTACTGATATATTTCCACAAAAAAAACAGCGATAATACGAATGATGTAAGTTTAGCCCCGATAAATAAATATTCTTTTGTTATGATACATTCAATGTACTTTGCATCAGTTTAGTCAAACAAGTTATTGCGTAGTTTTTATTATCAAAACAGTATACATAACGAGATTGGACTGTGTCGCTAATTTATCATTCAGAAATAATAACCAAGAGCAATTTAAAACAGAACCCTTGTTATGTTGTTATTGCATTTGTCCGCAGTGCCTCTTTAAAAATAAATCTAGAGTAAAACTACGTCATTTTCTTCGGAGATTGAAAAAATTGAGTTCTATGAAATTGTGCACCATGGCTTGACAGCTACTTGTTTTTTAAGTTCATTTGCAATTTTCCGGTGAAAATAATACTTCCCACATTTGTTTTTGACAAACATTTAGAAAAATGTAATATTTTGTTTACAGACTTTAACCAGGTATTTTTGTTAACGCCCAATTATCTTTACCGCAGGCACGTTAAACATAATATTCTATTGAAAAATAAATCATTTCCCCCCTTCATTTGTCATGCATACACTGTCAGTGAAGCATTTGTAAAATATTTGCCTAGTTCTGTTTATTCAGGTAGCAAAAAAACAAGAACATAAAAATTTCTATTGCGCATATGTAATTCTTGGCTTTCTTTAAAAACATGAGCAAAATGAGAAGTCGCTCAAATATAATGATTTTATAATAACAAGATCAAAGGTTAATAATTTGAAAAAAAATCATTATTTCGATGTTCAACATCCGTGCATGAAGTTTCGAAGCACTTGATTGACTACTGAGGTTACCAGAAAGTAAGAAAAACATGATTGCTAGGAATAATCATAAATAAAGAAGGCGACATTAGTGAATGTTTTATTATATGTTAAAAGTACATCAAAACAAAAGAATATTTTCGTCACTATGCAATCACCTCAGCACGTTTCATTCTATTTAAATAGGTCGGTTGTTCGTTAGAAAAATTTTCTTTTAAAAATGTAATAAGACAGATCGACTTTTTTTGTTGGGGTTCTGCAGCAATGAAAGGGTTTAGAAGAGATAAAAATGTGAATGTCAAAGGTTATATGAACAACAACAATGAATTCATATTGTACTTAGAGTTTATTGAAAGGAATTAATAAAAAAAAATAAACTTCGTAGAAATTCGAAACTGTTCACGCGGGCACCCCAAATATTATGCAAGTATATTTCGAAAGTGTACGCCAACCATTTGAAATAAGAATATCAAATACAGCGTGGACTTCGATCTTTGAATAGTTTGTTTTCTTTGTCTAACATAACCGATTAAGCCCTATAAAACAGCAGCAATATCAAGACACAATCGCAACCGCAACGATTCGGAAAACAAATGTATCGGACGCTATGTACATGAGTCCAATTGGATGATTTTTCAATTGATTGATTGGTGTTCTTTCATTCTGAACATACAGAAAAGTGTTCAGATACAAAATAAATTCGACTGCATCGCTGGTTAGAAGATGAAATTTTTTTTATTTCGAACAACTCAAACGTGACTACGAATGTCGTTATTGGAGACAACTTGATGCATGAATGATGTTACTCATCTACTTAATATTGTTTCCCTATTGTAATCGAAAAGCACATTTGTGGCGTGAGCCTATTTTTCATATCCATCATTTGATGAGAAAAATGTCAACAAAGATAAGCATTCGATGAAACTCGCGCAGATAAACCCTCTACTGTTCAATAGTTGCATTTGTTTTACCACTGATCTCACTATACTCCTCAGCTATGGGATCTCATTTCTTTTGTATAGGCACCGTAGTGCGCAGACACAAACAGTCATGAACAGTAATCGATTTTTTTTGACTTGCTGATAGATAGCCCAAGAGAATATCGAGTATTTGAATACAAAACGCAGCCGGCAACTATACCTCCCAGAGTATCACCAATAAAAAAATATCGGAGCAATTGAAAGTATATTTCTTACTAGACGAAACAGAGATTAAAACGAAATTTCATCTTCTTGAAAACATTTCTGTTTTTTAATAGACGTAGTTCATTCAATGGTGAACCAACTTGATTCTCCTATCAGATTGATAGTCGAATCGAAGTTACTTCAAACAATCGTTGACGGTAGTATCGCCCATCGTAGTTGTAATTTTGAGTAGCATAAATATATTGCAGTGCTCTCATATTAGTCAACGAATGTGGAATAGAAGTCAATTGGTTCGATCGGATGGATAATGATTGTAGTACTGTCGAAAGTTTCATAATTTCCACAGCGATTGATTTAATTGCATTACTATCTAATACAAGTTTTTCTAATAGTCTATATTCATCAATACCGTCCACGATAGTCAAAGAATTGGAGCTCATATCAAGTTCACGAAGATAAATAAGCGGAGGTTGAATAATGTTTCCTTTCAACTGATTACTCGCTAGAGTGAGCACTTTCAAATCGGCTAAGTCTGTTGATATCGTGACTGGTAGTGATGAAAGTTTGTTATATTGCATATTCAATATTTCTAGGGATGTCAATGTCAAAATACTGACAGGAAACGAAGTGAATTGACAGTGGAACAGATCAAGGTGTTTCATTCTAGGTGCATCAATGAACATAATTGTTTGGAGATGAGAGTTGCAACGTAAATTTACAACTGTTAAGGATGGTGTATTTTCGAATGAAACGAATTCAAGTAGATTATCTGGAGCCGAATTAAAAGTAGTTAGAGAATTTAAATTCTTGAAATTGATCGCTTTCAGGTTTCGACAATATATTATTGATATTGATTCGCGTTCAATGATAAATTCCTTAACGAAATAAGGTTTTGATGAGTTAATTTTTCCAAAATTTCATTCCCCGTAATTTCTAGCGAAGATAATTTAATCATATTTTCGATTCGAATTAAATGGATTCAAATTGATAAAATCAAGTTCATTGGAGTAAACCGAACAATTGAATGTCGCATCGATAACTATACAGAGGTAATAACGTTTCCTACCGTACATATTGAGGAACCATAATTGTAGCAATAATGGTAATACAAACAGTTCCATTCCTGCTATTATAAGTCGTTAAAAAGGTTTTTGACTATATGTGAAAAGACAAGAAAACTAAATAAATCTGAATAGAAAAATTCTCATGAACTCATCTCAATATGTTGATATAAAAAAATTCTTTTATAGTCATGTATCTCTCTATTGTAAGAATTTTTGAGAGAAGGGATGTTAGTTTGGACGGTATTACACTTCCTTTTAATTCTTTATATCAGTCAAGTTTATTTGCGTAACTGGAGCGACAGAGACTAAGAGGAAAAAATAGACAAATAATAAAAATGGCAGTATTGAAAAAAGACACATATCTCGGCGTCGTAAGAGTAAACGTTACATAGTTAATGATCGCAAGTGAACATAGAATCAACTCGATCGGTATTACCACATCTACTTGTACTGATATCTAAAAGAAACCATCAAAATTACATAGTACACAAGAATAGCGGGTGGTGCGAAAGTTTTTGGACAAAGTATTCGTTGATTTTCTGACCACTTGCGAGAGTCAGCCGAATTTGTAAAACACTGTGTTAGGATTAGCACCTCGGAATCTGTGTTCGAAATCTTTACCGGACATTTAAAGTAGAAATTTTGCTTAAGTTTTTGAAAGACACGAAAATGGCGTTTGCACAACTTTCAACCCCAAAAGTATAATCCAAGATTGATGCAAAAGATTATTCTGCATGCTGTAAAGTATACAACAAAGATCACCTTATAAAACTGTGTTCTAATAAAAGGTTGTCTTCGAGGCTTCTAAGAATAGTAAGAGTCTTACTAACAGATTATGTTTCCAGCGCTTATTGGCTTTCCACATGTTAGAACTTGTTCCATAATTTCTGTAAAATTAGCGGGAGGCAGTCAATTGTAAGTTCATTTTGTAGGAGACTATCTTGCTATTTATATAGTCGAAAACAGTCAGCAGATAATAGTCAATACGGCACTCATCACTGGGGAGAACTTATACAACCTATGTATTGATTAAAACAAAAGCTCCAAACTTCGATGAGGCCTAGCACAAGAACTTGGGACCAGGTTATGCTTGCTGTCTTTAAGTAGAAGATAAGGGAACGTCGAGACAGAAAAACCTAAAATATCATATAATCAATTTCACACCGGGCACGATCGAATATTCTGTCGCTCGATTCGTTAATTATACAGAGTTTTGCCCAAAGCCTTTTTTCGGGCCTTTCAAAAATTTAAGCACAATTTCTATTCTGAATGTCCGATAAAAATTTTGAATACAGATTTTGAGAGAGCACAAAATGCTAATTCTAACACGATGTTTTACAAATTCTAATGAGTGGCGGAAAAGATCTACATTACTTTTGTTTCTGATAAAGCGCTGTAGTGGAATGTCCGACAGAGCTGATCTTTGTTTTTGTCAAAAATAGCGGTGTCTAGTAGTGTAAAAACGGTAGCCATTAGCAAAACAAAAGTCAAAACGAATGTCATGGAAAAACGCCTGTGCAACTTCGCCGAGAATATTCTTATTCGAACATATTTGTTTGAGCCTTTTATTTATCGACTTGTGGTATTTTCGATATATCGTGCGTGTACAGCTGAGTATTGCAAACAATATTCTCTTGTGGTACTTAAATAATTGATCTCACATATCAGTACGAAAAATCTTATAGATGAATGAAACATGATTGAATAGTAGCTACTACATAGTGTTCGTTCAACCTCGATATCTAGGACTTGATGTACCATGTCTCTTATTATGCGTTCTCTTTGTCATATAACTGACCGAAGGACACGCTTTCATTAAGAAATACAGAAAAGGTCTATTGAACAATGTTGTAGAGCATATAGATCTCTATCGTGGTGCACGTATTGATGATAAACAAATTTTAGCGTAATAAGCCGGAAAAGTCCAACAGATGATATCCAACATCTATAAAAAAAATGTCGCTCATAACGACGTTTGATGAAAATTTGTCGTCGATGCTAAATATAGCTACAATTGGTGTCGATAATAAAAGCGAGGTATACTTTGCAAAAGCATCATTTTTACGTTTCTGGAGTATCCTCAGGCACTCGTGAAAAAGTTTTCTTTCTCCATTACTGTTGTTCACAAATAGATAGAATGACATGTGTTGATCTCAAGCATTATGTGCTTTTGAAGGTTTTTTCTGCTCATAAGAGACATATGGACCACTTGGGAGAGCTCAAAATCTGTTTTTAGTAGAAAAGACCGCAAATCTATGTGAAAGATTCATTTGAATTGAACCTGTTCGATGTAGAATCGTTTGATCTACCAGAATATGCATGAAGATCTACATACAAGAATGCTCCTAGATTGATCATGGTCAAATACCGCCCCCAATGGATTCAATGCTATAAACAGTGAGCTTATGGTGTAACAGAAAACGAGAAGAAAACAATGTGGTTTTCACTTACAATAGATAAATCGAGGAGCTCTTTTCATACAGATCATTTTTGGCAGTTTATCGGAGATTTTAGTGATCGTTTAAACCAAACTCATTATTGTCGATTATCTTTCATTGAGGCATGTACAAGAGTTGTTTGAGAAGTGCCAACGAATGGTCCGTTAGAAAGAACTTGCCGAGTTATCAGCTTTGAGTGAAAATCGCTTTGATTCACTCATGCAGCCATGGGATCTGTCAGTTCAAGGATCACTGTCTACAGCGTTGGACCCATTGGGGGCGGTATTTGACCATTATCAATCTAGGAGCATTCTTATATGTAGATCTTCATGCATATTCTTGTAGAGTAAATGATTCTGCGTCGGACAGGCTCAATTTTAGTGAACCGTTCACATAGATTTGTGGTCTCTCCCGGTAGAAACTAATTTTTTGCTCTTTCAAATGTGGTTCATATGTCTCGTACGAAGAGGCAAGCCTCCAGAAACATACAATGTTTGTGATCAATACATCTTATTCTATCTATCTGTGAACATCAGAGTCGAAAAACAACATTTGGCGAATGTCTGAAGGGTACCCCAGAAATTAAAAAATGATGCATTTGCCAAGTAAACCATACCAGTATGAAAAGTGCTCAACATCGATACGGCTTTTATTGTCGACACCAAGTTTAACTTTATTTTGCATCAATGAGAAATTTTCATCAAACATCGTTATTCAGGAAAATGATAGCTAAACGCCGTTACATGCCTAAGTGATGAGTATTTAGCATTCGATGATGGCTTCGAGGCTATCAACAATGTTGGAACATCTTCAAATCGTGTTACAATTAAAAAGCAAAATAAATGTCTTCACAAACAGACTGCTTGCGTGCTTCTGGAGAAAGATGTGAGTTCATTACCCGTTGATCGGCTGTCACACGTTCAAGAGCAATAGTTGTTTTCGTTTTCAACTATTTTTGTTTAAATAATAAAACTTCATATTTATCTATCATGTTGGAAAATTTCCTAGTGCGTTATAAAAACTTTGGTAAATCCAAGTCGCATATTTGTAAATACATGCATATTCATAATTCTACTGACATTAATGGATAAAAAAAGGCAACGCGAAACTATAAAAACAAAAAATAAGAATTTCCAGAGATACTAAAAATCAAGAAATTAATTTGTTCCCCCTTGGGCAAAAGCGAAGTGGCATTGATGCTGTGCATGAGTTGGCAAGAATTTATTTTCTTTTGAGTTACAATCGATTGTATTAAACAAAATACTAATTTATGGCGAATTTAAAGTCTTCAAACGTCGCACGTCGTTTAGAACGACACGAATAATTGTCTGAGGCATATTTTGGTTCGAAGAAAATCCACATATAAAAATACTAACACACACACAGACAAATATTTATACCGAACATTTAGTATTGTCTATTCCTTCTTCATTGACGTCTCCTTGTCGGGGTACTAACATTTCTCTATTTGATCATAAGATAAAACTAGTGAATTTTTATTTCTTACAAAACGTAACTCCAGCAGCTTTTCATTCCTTGAATGAATTCGAATTCAAATGCTTTGGCTCGCTTGAGGACATCGGATTTTTTGCTTGAAATTGAAATAGTAGCTCCATAGCGAAACGAAAGTATCGAAACATAAATCGATACTACACTCCAAAATGCGAGAAACTTTGTCCATCATTTGCAAACATTTTAATTCAAACATACACGCTCGTACTGCAAGCTTCATCAATATTTGCTTAGCGAAGCGCGAAGAACATTACGACGTTTTACGTGATGACCAAAAAAATCTTCAAAGTCAGAAATAATTACTTGTTTTCGCGCATAACTCTATGTCATTAGTGATAATAATCAGAAGCGCAAACGTCTCTTCGATATTCATAAGATTCGATGATTAAACATAAAATATGTAAAAGCACTAATTTTTACTGATGCCATTAATTTTTCAATAGAACGTATTAAACAACGAAATAAATCACATCATCAGAAATGACTCATTAGTATTTTAAGTCGCCGTTGGAAATATGCTTTATTGATTTTTGAATATAGAATCACGATGACATATAGAGAAAAAAGATTAATTCAATTCATGAAAATGGATGTTACAATAATCAAAAAAAATAGGATGGAATGATGAAAAATAGATTTTGATTTTTTCTTGTTAATGAAAAAAGCATGTGAGACGAAAATGTTTTTATAGTCGTTGGATGCTGACATTTTAATCTTAAAGATCCTTGTCGAAAATGTATTCGCCAAGGCCTGTGCCGACTCGTTGTAAGTTGGTGATATATTCAACGTACTCTTTGATGGATTTGACCTGGAAAAAAAGCAAGAATACTAAGAGATTATAGAAGAAAATATTACGTTACCTGTTCATCGAGGAATTCTCCTTCAAGATAATCCGTAAGATGTGGATCACTAGAACAAAAGTTAATATATTTATGGATGAGACTCTAATCAAAATTCATACGCGTGTTTTGAAGCCATGGCATGTAATTCGAGTAATGCTTGATAAACATCCTTCTCTAATTGTAAACCTGTTTGGTGCGCTTCAAGAGGCGAGGCCCAGCTTTGTTGTGTTGGTTTCTAAATTTCAGAAAATAAGATCATTATTACAAGCAAGGAAAATAAACTAATTATCAAACCTTGATGTCCAAAAGTACAACAGTACCACCACGTTTATTTTGATATTCCATGAACTTGTTGGCATGTTCGAATTCTTCCTTGGCCATTTTTTCGAAATATTCATGATGTCCTACACGATAGAAGTAGAATTTAAACGAATAATTTCTTTCGATGCTCACCTTTGAAAGCAACATCTGGGCGACCAAAATAATTTGCCATAGCTGTATATGCATAGCTAGCATACATTTCCAAGTTGATTTGACGATTGATCAAACCTTCACTATCTTCATGGAAATTGCTAAAGATAAATATATTCTCAATAGAGAGAAAAATTCATCCAAGTCAAATACATACAATCGAACCAAATTTCCCGTGGCTTGTTCTTGTGCTGACATGATAGTAGACTGGCTTTTTGTTGTTGGAATACGAAAAAAAAATTTTCACTGTTTTATAAACACGATTTGTAACGAACAATCACTGCTGCTGCAAAACAAATCGAACGAATAACTGAAGAAAATGGACGAGAAGTAAGTGTATTTATACTAAGGGAGTAGGAAAAAAAGGATAAAAAGAAAGAACAGAAAAAAGACTAGGAGGGTTGATTCTTTTTCTTTTTCTTCATAGCCGGCCTTTGCACGTGCTTTTCGCTAGTATTGTCGTTATCAGAAAGGAAGAAAAATAGAAAGCCCTTATTGCTATTGTATATCTTTTCTAAGTAATTCATCAAAGGAAAGTAAACAGCAAAATAGGCGAAGAAAAACTCGCATTCGTTAGAAAAATTCAGATAAAAACAATTTCAGAGTACTGAGAAAATCATTGTAATCATGACGATGCAAGTAAATAATGCGACAACAGGGCAATGTGCTCCTACACGTTTTCACGTAAGATTATACAGCCAGGCTTCATGCGATGAAAATAGATGAGTTGTATAACGAACAAATAATAAGCCTGAGTATTTTTGCCTTTGAAAACGAAAGTGCAAATTACACACGATTTACTCTTCAATCGATAAAAATATAGAGAGGAGGTGGAGATTTCAATGAACAAGGTCATTCTATTGCTATTGAGCTTTGCGTTTCATGAAACCTATCAACGCAAATTACAAGCTTTTCATTAAGAAAAGTTCTATTTTCATATCATTCATAAGATAACGTTAAATAACGAAATAGGTACTTTTGTTTAAACGTACTTTCTTTTCGAGGATCGTTATCAGTATTATCTTTATTCAAAATGTTCTATGCATTCACTTCTGTCTAGCAAGGAAAGAAAGTCGACAACATCATGCTTTAGATTTGCATTCAACTATTAGTGATTCCGGAAGGGAAACATAGAGACTCCGATACCGCCGAAATTGAAGCAAACTTCAGAATGAAAAATATAGCCTCGGTGATATTAGAAGAATAAGGAAGATCTCGGTAGACATCGAAATGTTATTTTGTTTTTCGTTGCATTATATTTTAGGTTACTCGATAACATCGCTAGATGAGGCTGAATAATTTCAAAATTTGATATTATACCCAGATAAATCGTATAATCTCGATTGTTTTTCTTTCGAATGAGACATCAGTAAGTTTTCTATAGAAATCTTCGTAGAAACCCTATTCGCTTGCTATCGAGTTTTATTTTAAGAATGAAGTCGAAGTATTGTGCGATGATAAAATGCTCTGTCATCGTGCAAAGAATCAAAAGGAGAATAAAATTTAAAAAGAAAGTCATGTTTTCTATTCTTCTCAATATGTTTCGTTAGATTATAACATACTTTCGAACAAAGCAGATAATTGAAAAAATGCAGAAAATCATGAATATGACCGGAGATCTGGTCATTTTAAATAAATAAAAGCTTCAATTATGACAGAGCTTAGTATTAAAATCAAGTCAAACCACCTTTTTAAGAGAAATCCTAATTAAAACTTTTTGAACAGAATTCGATGCAACATCATAAAGAAGATCAAATAAGATTCTATAATTTATCTCGAGCGAACTATATACATAACACTCAGTTTTACGGTCATTCGGGTATTGAATACTCTAATAATAATTATGCTTTAGGATTCATCAATCACCAGACTTTCAACATGTTATCGCAAAATAATTGATCTTGACTAGTCTAAATTCTGAAAATAAGAAAACACTTGTAATTCGTTTTTAATTACAGAGACATAGAGAATATTCTGCGTTAAGAAAGTCTTCATTGATTTTATTTTCCAATTTAAAATGTGTCATGTAAAAAAATAGTCAAACTACGAGTGATGTCAGCTCTGCCCCGATAAATAAATATTTTTTTGCTTTTCTACGTATCGCGTGATAAAATACTTCTCTCATGTGTTTTTATTATCAGTAGTTGAATGTACTTTTTATCATTTAAATCAAATAAGTTATTGCAGATTTGTTATCATCAAAACAACATACATAGCAACAATGGGCTGCGTCGCTAATTTATCATTCAGAAATAATAACCAAGAACAATTTAAAACAGAACCCCTATTCGATAGTTTTGTTATTATTGTATTTGTTCGAAGTGACTTTTTAAAAATAAATTTCGAATAAAACGACGTCATTTGCTTAGGAGATTGAAAACAAAAATTAATTCTACGAAATTGTACACGATGATCTAGCAATTAATTACTTTCTAGTTTCATTTGCAATTTTCCGGTCAAATTACTACTTTCTACATTTTGTTTGACATACATCTAGAAGAATGAAACTTTTTGCCTATAGACTTTACGGGGGGATTTCTGTTAGCACCCCATTATGTTTAACGGAGGAATGTTAAACGTAACATTCTATTGAAAAAGAAATAATTTTTCACTCTTCTTTTTTCATGCATGCATCGTCAGTGAAACACTTGTAAAATATTTGCCTACTTCTTTTGATTCATGTAGTACAACAAGAAAAAATCATGAAGAATTCTATTGAATATGTAAGGTTTATTTTTGTTGAAAAACACGAGCAAAGCGAAAATTCACTTATTAACGAGCGTAGGCTAATAATAAAAAATCATTGTATCGGGTGATTTTCAATATTATTGTAATCGATTAAATTCTCGATGAAAACGAACGATTTAATAGAAGAGAAAAATATATGATATGTTTCAGGGGTTTCCAAGAAACTCATTTTCTCACACTTTCTTAGTGACGAGACTTAATGGACTTAACGGACGTAATGAGTATATTCAAGTGAATTAATCGGCTGACCCAGATTTTTATCTGAAATCTGCCTTTTTTACCACACTCATGTAATTACTTCGATTTTTTAATAAAAATCATACAAATATCTTAATAAGAAAATATTAATATTTCTCATAGAATTTTTAAAATATCCATTTTTTATCATTCAATTATCGACGTGCGATTTCTTAATATTTAAATAGTTGAGCAATTTTTAATTAGAGAATCAAGAAAATTTTCATAACTCTAAAAATAAGAAAAATTTGCTTTTTCGATATTCATCTTAACGTAGCATATTCTCGGATTATTTAAGGTCCCAATAGGGATCCTATTGAATAGTTTCGATCTGAGAATACACATGTACATCTGTCATTAAAAAATGATTTCAACCACGTATATCCAATTATGTCCAGATATTTCAGACATACAGATGGTACTATAACGATACATGGACTCGATACAAGATAGTGCAAAGTGGTACAGGTTGTACTTGTGCATTCCTGTTCCAATCAGCTTTTTCTCTCTTGGAAAAAAATCAGGAGATGAGGAAGATAAGATTATATCATTCGAAAATATTTGATAAGGTCAGATCTCTTCCACCATTGATTTCAATCCAGGAGAGATCAACTAGTTAAATCAAGAGGACAAAAAACTCATCCACAATGAGTTCTCTTAGTGTAAAGTGAAAATCGATTTGTTCATAGTTAAATGTTGTGTGATCTAAATAGTTTTATTGAAGAAAAATAAAACGTTTGACAGAAAAGAACTTTTCATGCACACGATAATATTGACTTTTTTCCTAATGAACGTTTTCTCAGAAGAATATTTTTGTTGGAAAAATTTTCATCTTTGAATAACGCCATGAATTTGTTTTGTTTAAATAATAATTAATGTATTCTTGCACAAGGAAAATAATCTCGTAAAGAATTGAAGTAACGCTTTTCTCCGGATAAAAAAATTTCATTTATTTTAGCACAGTTGATTCGTGTAACATCTCTTGTAAAATTACGTGTTACTCTTTCTAATGATTTATAATTGATAGAAATAACAATATTATTATGAAAATATGTTTTTGTATTAAATAAAAATTCTTCGATATAATCATCATGAACTTCTTCAATATCAAGTGTAATAAGATAATTATATTTAGCAATTGTTGAATTAAAATTGTGATTTATTAATTTATAAGATTGTTTATGTATTTGTGATTGATGATTAATTAAAGATAATCTTTCCATAAATGGAATTGATTGAGAAATTTTAATAAAAAATTCATGTTCAAAAGGATATTCATCATATAATGATATAAAACGAACATATCGATATAATCCATCTGGAAAATTATTTGTTATCTTTTGATAATACGGCATTTCAGATGGATATGAAAAAATATGACATTGACCGGTTTTTTTCTCTCGAAAATAATCGACATAAGATATTATTTTCGTATATTGAAAATCTCTAAATGACTCCTCAATATCTTTTTTTGATGGTAAATTTATTTGATTATTAATAAACATAAGTGAACGAATATCAAATGTAAATAGATTTAATTGTGGTAAACGATTGATAACATTTTTCTTTAAATCATTTCCATCAATAAATTTATCATTAACATAAATCGTAAGATATAAACCAAGTTTTTCAATATTTGACATTCGATAAATAAGTGGCAGAAGGCATTCTTCATAGCGTGTTACTTCCCAAGCACATGAGAGAACGAAACACTTTAGATTTAAAATTTTTTCCTGGAAAAATAAAATAAAATAGAATAAAATTAATTTTTTCTTAAAAACTGACTTTATTTTCAATTAAATCTGTTGACAAAACATTGTTAATCAAATCAACAATGAGTGTATGAAGTTGACTAAAACGACCATCAAGAACATAAAGTAACTGTGAGAAATGTTGAACCTTGATATTTAATACCAAAAGACTTGAAGAAGAAAAACTTCGAGATGGAACATCAAATAATAGAGAAACAAAATCTACATATGATGATTCAGAAAACGTTAAATGTGTTAATTTGTTAAATATAGAAAAAATACAACTGCATATTTTTACTATTGTAAACGAATTATTTTTTTTTCTAGGAGTTGTTATAATGAGTCTTGTTATTTGTTTTTTAAAAATACCAGTTGAAAAGCGTTCATCTAAACATACAATTATTAATTAAAATATATATAGGGGATCATATTTAGATCAAACTATTATCTTCATTGCTGTACTGTTAAATATTAAATATTAGTTGTTAATCATTATCTTCGATGAGATTATTCAGTCTCTCCAATTATATCCTTTTGTTAAGGGACTAAATAATTTCATATAAGACAGTAATCTGTGACTATTTTACAGATCAAGATAATCATCTAGGCCCAATATGGTTAGATTCTTTAACTGATAATTCAGATAAAGCAATTCGGAATATCCTACGGTTGGCCAGGCTCACAGATATCAAAGATCAATAAAAATAGTCAATAGATTAAGATAATTTTTGATAGAAACAAATCATTTTTCGAAATAATCTGTAGTTTTTTTCCTAAAAGTAAGGAATTTGGTTTGTTAAAATCTTGCTTTTTTATTCATTAGGAATGTTTTATGTTATATCGTTTTTTATATATGATTCTTTTATAAATTCATACTGAAATATAAATTAGAAAAGTACTTTCTTATATTTATTGATGATGCAGCACGATTTGATTTTTATTTAATAAAATCTAAAAGATCTTTTTTGTTCTTTCATTTATCGATATTTCGTCTTTGTTTATCCGGACATTTACGAGATTGTTATGGATGTTTTGGTTTAATGTTGCTGTTGTTGTTGTTTTGATCTATGTTTCCTATCCACGGCCTGATATTTTTTTCTTTTTCTATCGTTTTNAAATGTCCGGATAAACAAAGACGAAATATCGATAAATGAAAGAACAAAAAAGATCTTTTAGATTTTATTAAATAAAAATCAAATCGTGCTGCATCATCAATCTATTGAGCCAAATGAACGTCTCGATTCTCATATATACATTATGAATTTCTTATATTTGTTTAAGATTCAAAGAATTCTATTTTGATTTTCTTACCAGTAAAAAGACGTCTAGCTGTCTTTTCATTAATATTATATAGACCAAGCACATATAAATTAGGATAATCTGCAGCACGCAAAATACTTTTTGCAGATGATGGTTCAAGATAGAACCATTTGACTTTTATAGAAATATCAGGTAAAATTTGTAAACGAAATCGATTAAGTGCAAAATTTGAAGTAAGTTTATTATGAAATTTATTGGCAGACCATTTGACAAAGTTTAAATTACTTGTGAATATTGGATCATGTATAATTTTATTCAATCGTTTACTTTTAATGCCATGAAAAAGAATAAAGTATATCAAAATTGTCCAATTTTTTAAAAATAATCAAAAGAATTTCATCGGATAAATCATTCAATTCAACACATGAACGTTCCATATTTATCTTCGTTTACCTATTTGTTTCATCTGAGTAAAGTCAATATTTATATACGCGATCAAACACAATAGATAAATTAACACTAAATTTAGCAAATATGATTAGTGTTGCTACGTGGAAACATCAATCATATTTCTTAATTCATTTCGTAAGTCATTCTTGCCTGCTGAATATATTCATTCATTCTATTTGTCCAATATCGTCAATAACAAGAACAATAAAATATTTTTGACTAGTCGAGATTGTCAGCAATTTAATGAATTTATAGTTCGAAGAATACTTTTATTTATTGAACATGTCATATGATATACTGTAGATACTTTATTTAGAAAAGAATCAAGTACATCGTGTTCTATTATTTTGTATGGCATGGTGCAAGTTCAAATATATCTTATTTTTAAATAGTCATATTTTTTCATTCATCTTTTTGTGTACTCAAAAAGTGAGTGCACTACTAAAATCGGTCAGTGTGTCCGTCCGCCCGTCCGTTTATTTGATAACTCTTCACAATTGCATTCGATTGAGCTGAAATTTTGTGCACTGAATTGTCTTATCAATATCTAGGTCGAGTTCGAAGATGAGAAGGATCCGTCAAGAAATGGCTGAGCTATCGAAAAAATTGTCATTTTTGATCAGACCATCCTGAGGGGGAAGTACAGGGATTTAAAAAAAAAACATTTTCTCTGAATTATTCACAACATATATAAATCGACTCAGTTTTTAACGCTGATTTCGAATTTGATATTGGTTTTGAACTAAATCGTAGCTTTCTAACGAAATATTGACTGAAAAAGGTCTCAAAATACACAAAAACTGCATCTAGAAACCAAATTGCCTAGATATGTCTCAGAGTTCCTATGCATATATACGGAACTAATATTTAAAAAAATTTGATTCTCTACTTTCATCGAATCTGTTTCTTTATTGATCAAATATCCCAGGAGAATCAGGGTACGTCGGAATCGGTCTGAACCAATCGGTTCCGTTGAATCTCGACGATTTCCTAACTAACGAATTCCGGTCCAGATTTCGTCGGACCATTTCCGATCAATTCCCATCGGTTCCGACGAATTCCGGGTCGAAATTTTGCGGAAATTAACGGAATTTTTCCGGCGGAAATCGGACCGGAATTCGTTAGTTAGGAAATGGTCGGAATTCAAAGGAACCGACCGAACAGCAACGGAATCCATAGGATCCGATGCCGGAAACGATCGGATTCACTGGTCGAATTGAATCTCCTGGGATTGTATATCATATTGCTACGACTGTCAATAACATGTGCAGAAACACATTTATTTATGTGATTTTATTTCGATAGTTACAAATCTGTCATTCCCAATCCACAAAATCATTAAAAATCACTCCGCACAAATTTATTTACACATTAACTATAAAAGAAGCAATTGTCAAAACCCAGGAGAATCATTCCGATCGTCTGAAAGATCATCGGAAACGACTAAAACGGCATTAATTTTCACCCTATTTCGCCGTAATCCGTCCGCTCGTTTTACGAGCCATTTTTTTTTGATAGAAAACGGCCATCGCTTTTAACACTATTCTCTTCGTTTTCAGAACTGACGGAAAACGGCGCCGCTTTCTAACGTTTTACATCGTTTTTATGCCGTTCTCTTTGGGAAGACTCAAGATTAATATTTATCTGCTTCATAACCTTGTTTCATTAATGCACTATTTGCTCCTTTTTCAATACTAACAAATCCAGCATTTATATGACAATTGTTTTTAATACCTGGAGATTATATTTAGTTTTCTAAGAAAAAATTTCAATAGGCTTCAATTAAATATTAAAAGGAAAACTTTGGCTTCATTTTCATGTTGCTCCTTCACCTGAAATAATTGTTGTACATCAACAAATTTGTAAAACACTTCATGAAAACAAATTTCGTAACATCTTTCGTATAATACATTTTTTTTAGAAGAAAAAAATATAGTTATCGTACTAGGAACAGAATAATGGATAGTATAATAAAAAGAAAAGAAAAGAAACAATCGCGCAAATAATCGATCATCATCGCCGAATGAAAACTACTGTTAGAAGACCTAAAACAGCAGAAGAACAAAAAAAATAATATTCAATATAGAATGACAACGCGAAACATTTACCCAGTATATAACTTGCGATTACTTTTGAATTGGTGGTCATATGTAAATAAGATGGTATGCGTGCATTGAAACTATTGTCACTATCTGGTATTGTTGGTAGTACGAGAACGAATGCACATATGGCACCAAGAATTGTTAGAATGAAAACAACCAATGGATCTCCTTGAAAAAGAAAACAAACATGAATTTGTTTTTTTGAACGAAAACTTTTTCTTGGTTTACGTGTTTCTTGTTGTATGATAGGAGGTGTTGGATTAGTTATTGTATTCGGTCGTGTTCGTCTTGATGTACCGCCAGCCGTATTAGGTTCATCATCAAAACTTTGCTCCAATGGTTTATAGGATAGAATTGAGCAAGTTACATCTCGTTTACCTTTTTCGAGAAAATAAAAAATTAGAAATCAGTTAGGTTTTTTTGTTTCTGTTACCAATTAGATCTTGAGATTTTCGACGATCAAAAAATTGTACACGAATTTTATGTACGACATTCTGATTTGCTGATGATGCTGATGTATCAAGAAGTCGTACGATTCTAACAATAGAAATAGAATTGTTATCTACTAATACCAAATCTATTTTCTTACGTATCTACAGAATGCTGTGCGCGAATTTCGCCTTGTGGTTCAGCGACTGAATATTTTTTTGGAGCTGTACACAACACTAAAAACAACAAGAACAATAAAAATTGAACATCTATCGAAAGATTGTATTCACCTTTATAACGAACGACAAAGTCGTATGGATTGTAAAGTGTTAACACTTGAGAGAATGTGCTGGGGTCATCTGAAATCAGTAAACAATGAATTTCATTAGGGAAAAAATACGCAATGTTCACTTACCAAGATAGAATAATAGTGAATTTGATGAACAGAAGAAAGGTAATTGTGAAGCATTACTTGTCAAATGTGTTGGTAAGGACATAAATACATTTGTAATGTACGAAAATGAAAGAAAAAATGGACTGAAAACAGTTTGTAGTGCACGAGGTATCCGTCAGTCAATGACTCATTAGTAGCAGCTGACGATTAAAGAAGAACAAATAAAGTTCATTGATTCAAGAACTATTGCGAAGTGCAATCAGTATGAATTTATTGCATTATATGCGTACAGTAATGAAAGAACCTATCAATTGTATCGAATAATCTGAAAGATTATTGGTAAATTTAACAAAATCATCCGGCTAAAACATGCAGCGCCATCTATTACGATCTGTCGCTCTAGGAAGGTTTATTTCTCGGAAATTCAAGAAAAAAAAAGAACAAATGATTGAAGGCAATAGTAATTGCATACAGAGAAATTGATAAATAATGCTCTTTTACTCTTTGCAAATTCATATGTCATAAAAACATTGGGAACAACGAAACCGAAAGGTTAGAATTCATCAAAGGAAGCTATCAATGCTAATTCAATTCTCTTTAAAAAGACGAACATGAATAAGTTCTTGTTTACTGAATACTAATGATTGGCGTTTGAACTCAGCACTAATGTTAATGGTCTCTATAGATTTATTTTTCTAAACGGAATAGTCGAATTTATACTTTATACCAATAGCTGATTGAATATTGCATAAAAAGAAAGACAAGCACGAGAATATCACGATCCCATTGCTGATCTTGATCAGTAGTGGCATACTTGAATTCAATTGAAAATTTCAGTTTTCAACTTTCTACTTTTAAACCAATAGCATTCTGAAGAATCGTGACTCATACACACATCGCTATCAGTCGTAAGTTGAAAGTTGAAAATTTCAATTTTCAATTGAATTCAAGTTTCAAGTTTGACATATATAATCTTGATAAGAGGAAAACATGTTCGTCGGTATACTAAAAAAAAATAATCGGAGTCCTAACGAATAGAATTCATATGGATTAAGCAAATATATTTGACTGTTCTATGTATTTTTAGATTAGAAAAGAGTTTTTTTAGAAAAGAGTATAATAATCGATCTGCGAGAACGAGTGCATTATATATACGCAGCAGCATGTCCTATTAGAACATACCATTTTCTTCGCTGTTATATGTTTCTTATTATATATAGATGCAATAGGGAAATCTTGGATAATCCCATCGGTATTAACAGGAAAGCTTATTTCATACTAACTTTCCAGTCAATTGATTCTATTTCGAATCGAAAAATCCTAATTTGTTTATAAAACTTATTTTAATCTAATGCCATCTGTATTTCATTTCGGATTGGCCGAATTTTTCAACTGTTTATGTTTATCTAGTCTTCGTTCTTCTTTCTTATTTGAAAAAAATTGAGTTGTCCTCAGTTGATCGAATACAAATGGCTGAAGTATCGAATGAAAGTCACTTGTAAATAAAACTAAAATCAATTATTTTTTCCAATTGCTTATGTTTTTCCATTTTTCTTTAGTGCAAATTGGTCGATACCAAATTTACAAAAAATTAATGTTCAGGAATTATATACTCGACACCGCCAAAGTTTACGTTCATGGTTTGAATTTTTCAATACATCGAAATTTAAAACACCTGTAAATATTGGAACAGGTATTTTTAAATATTGACCTATTTAATTTCTTATTTTCTTCTTTTAATTTGTCAAGCTACTCGACGACTTCTTGCTAATGTTGAATATTTTCAAACAAATTATTTCATAGTTATTATTATTTTATCCATCTATTGTGTGTAAGTTGTTGTTATTTTTATTCGAAAAAAAGATTTTCCTATTTTTCTATTCTATTAGGGTTACAACGCCATCACTACTTTTTGTCTTATTAGCTATCGGCGCTGGTTCTTATTTAGTCACTATAAAAAATCGAGAAAAACAATTATCATTCATGGGTATGTGACTGAATTCAATTTATCGGTCTAAGTAAATTGATGATTTTAGGACGTCAAATACCACTACCACAACAATATGCGGCTGTGATGGCTCTTTGCATTCCATTACTGATTATAGTTGGAGCGGGTTCAGCTATTTTTTGGATTCTTGGTAATTGTAATAAATAAGAAAATGTTAAGCAATTTATTATGTATATTTAGGTGCATCGGTATTTGTTATTGCTCTTCATGCAGTGTTTCATCAAACACCGAACCAAGATGCATTTGGTTTACAAATGCAAGAAGTTTAGATTTAGATAATTAATTAATCTCGGAATATTATTTGTGATATTTAATTTGCACTTGAATTTTTTGTTTTTCGTTTCTATATTTAAAATTTGCTTTTCGTTTTGAGACATACTAATAACCGAATAGAAATTCATCTTACTCATATAAATATTATTATTGTTTTAGATGGCGTCTTCATCAGATTATATCATCGAAGTTAGAATAGATGTTTTAAAAACATTGAAAATCTTTGGAATAACAGCAACTGCATTGACAGCGATTGGTTTGGGTGCATATTATATCCATCACCGTATGCAAAGTTCCAGACGTGTTATTCTTCAAGATGAAGTCAAACATGTTCTTGAACCGTTTGAATTATCCGATGAACAATTGCGCCGTGTTATGGCTAATTTAAATACCCAGATGACCAACGGTTTAAAATCCAACGACAGTGAAAACAATGATTTAGCCATGTTTCCAACATTTGTCAATTTTAGACCCAATGGTCAAGAATCAGGAGAATATTTAGTTGTTGATTTAGGTGGTTCCAATTTTCGTGTTTCCCATGTTAATATTGAAGGACGAAATCGATTACGCTTAAAAAATAAAATATTTCTTATACCACATTCATTATTATTAGGTGAAGGTGAAAAGCTGTTTGATTACATTGCCGAATGTTTACAACGATTTATTGATGATAACGGTCTAGCTACACATAAACGAGCTGATTACAAATTCGATTTAGGTAAAGCCAGTGTTTTGCTTTTTATTGAAAAAGTTTGAATTTTCATGAAAAATATATATTAAGACCTATCACATTAATCTCGGGTTAAGGTATAAATGACGAGAGACACACTACGTATTGATTGAGAACAATCATCTGATACTCCTACAGTATTTTAAAGATCAAATATTTGTATATAATCTATCATCAAACAATAAAGCTACATACCTTGTTCTTCTGTTTCGTTTTCAGTAAAGAATATTTGTTATCTATCGTATTTTTATCTCGCACGGGAGCGTATACAACTGCCAGACGTCGTTCTGTCTTTTAGTATGAGACTAAGAATCCTTCAAAGGACTTACTTATACTGCTTGTCTGAAAGTCACACAGAGTCGAAAGAATAAACAAGTAGGTCGGCGTTTCTGGTAGAAATGATTGATCATTGATTATCTTTCTTTTTTAGCCTTTACGTTCAGTTTTCCATGTACTCAAACAAGTTTAAGTCAAGCAACTTTAGTATCATGGACGAAAGGTTTTAGTTGTACTGGTGTCGTTGGTAACGATGTTGTACTTTTATTACAAAATGCAATCGATCGACGAAGGGTAATAAAATAATCATATACTATAATTACGTGATAAAGAAAATTTTAGACCTTACAAATACAAGTTGTTGCCTTAGTTAATGATACAGTAGGCACGTTAATGGCATGTAGTTCACTATATCGTGACTGTAGAGTCGGTGTTATTCTCGGCACCGGTAAATATGAGTTAATCGTTATTGACGTATTCTTTTTTTTTTTAATATAACAATTGATTAGGCACGAATGCATGTTATTTCGAAAATCTTGATAATGTACCGAAATGGGCCGGTGAACGGAATCAATCAACTAAACAAATTGTTATCAACACTGAATGGGGCGCTCTTGGCAAAGTAAGTGTTCAAGATGAATTCGATGATTTAACGAAAGCGCTTTTTTTCTTTAGCACGGTTGTCTTGATTTTATTCGAACAAAAATTGATCGCGAACTGGATGAATCAAGTTTAACACCGAATCAACAAATTTTTGAAAAAATGATTTCCGGTAAAACATTTTATATATGTAAATTAGTTATTTTTAAAAGAAACTTAGCTCTGTATTTGGGTGAAATCGTTCGGTTGATCATAATCGATTTAGTTCGATCTTCGATTCTTTTTCCTGATCGTATGCAAAAAGCACCTAGCCGTGGGCGCGATTACAATATTTTTCTTAGTCTACGCGGTAAATAAATGCAAAAGAATATATTAATAAAATTATTTTATTCATTCATAGGAAGTTTCTATGCGAAACATGTTGCCGACATTGAATGTGATAAAAGTAAATCGGATAGAATATTGATTTTTTTCTCGTTGATATCTAAAAGAAAATTTTCTCTTTGCCATTCTATTCTAGCTGAAGATTTATCTGTGACAGCATCGATTCTTACTTCCATTGGTATTTACGATCCATCCTATGACGATTGTTATATTATTCGTGAAGTTTGCAAAACAGTATCACTTCGAGCAGCAAAATTAGCAGCCGCAGGTAAACAAAATGTTGCATCGAATTTATCGTCTATGCGAAATGATTATTTTTATGTTATAGTTATTGCTGTGGTTGTCAATCGTGTCAATATGCCGTCGGTTACAGTGGGTGTAGATGGTACACTTTTCCGACATCATGCACGATTTAGAAAGAATCTTATTCGTACTATGAGCCGACTTGTTCCAAGAACTGTAAGTTTCATTATTCGAATGCAATAACTTTATTGTCGATATATTTATTTTTAGCATCGTTTGGTTCTTTCTGAAGATGGTTCATCGAAAGGCTCAGCGTTAGTAGCAGCTGTTAATCGACACAACCAAGAAACATTGACATCAACATAATTTAATCAAAAATATATTTATTATTCATGATCTTTTTCATTTTTGCATGAATTATCGTTAGGTAGATCATTTCTTACAGCTTTAATCCTAGTCATTTTATTATTCTTACGAAAAAAAAGAACAGTTTTTGCATTCTAATGTAGTTAACTTCTATCGTACATCAATCTATAGTAATTTCTTCTGCTTAGATGACTAGTGTTGCCTGTTGTAATTTTATTTAAGTTGAAAAAAAGAGCAACTAATACATTATTTCTAGATTTTTATGTTCAAATGGATGGCTTATATTTGCCCGATGGGCGTCAGCTCGCATTAATTGATCGTGATTGGATCCTTGACGAATTGCCACATTTAGGAAACCCAGACGACAACTCCGACGCTAACTATTTACTTGCATCAGCAGCAGCAGCTACAAGTGGTACAGGTGTTGCTACAGGCGGCTCAGCAGGTCGAGGCACAACCGGTATCGGAACTGGAAGTGGCTCATCACACGGAGTAGCTAATCATACGGGCGGTGGATCTGTTGGTGCAGATAGTACAGGAGCAAATAATCACGGCGCCGGTGTTAATCATAATCATAGCTTATTATATAATCCAGACGAATTTGAAGGTGATTTAACATTACTTTCGGAAATTGTTGACGAAACACAAAATAAGTGGTCGGATTTTGGACTTAACCAATTACTGACACCGTACGCACGTTCAATTCGACCTGCGTTCAAATAGGAAAAAAACAAAAAGTACCCACAGCAACCAGTTAAATTTTACTTGTTATTATTATTATTGAAAAAAAAACTCCAACAATGCCTCTTATGAATTATTATATACTTCGTTTCAAAAGATATTTTTTTCGATACAGTCTTTATTTTAGTCGAAGACCAAGATTAAATCGTATCATTAAAATTCTCTCCATTATTATTATTGCCTTTCTTTTTATGAGTCTTATTAATGGTATTCTTTTTTCAAGCGTTTTTTTCTTACAAGAGAATACGAACGAACCAGATTATGATCTCGATACACGACCCTATTATAAAGCAATTGAAATGAAAAAACGTTTTGATGATTCAGGAAATTATTTGATTGTACAAAATTTTGTACAATATCAAGCAAATTTAACTAAAAATGCCGATATACTTGCACTTGATTTACATACAAATATTGCACAACTTCATCTATTATTACATCATGCGAAGGTTTGGGATGGACCAATATCATTAAGTTTATATGTTAAAGGTGCACGAGGTAGTGATGATATTGATTATGCATCTATATGGCTTCGATGTAATCGACGGTCATTTAAAGTACTCAATGTTCATCTTGTTATCTCGGCTAAAGCTTATAAAAGTAAGAAAAGTGTTATTTTTTGGTTGAGCGTATTGTAGAGAGAAGCGAACCGTTGGAGTAGACCTAACGAGGGAAAATATCTAACTGATAAATCATTTTTCGGATCGACCCTCATGCATGTCCTGAAAATTCCGGCTCAAACAAATGTTCTCTTCCCGAGATATTTGGCTTCAAAAAAAAAAAGACAGTTTTAGAATCCTTCGTGAAATATCAGTGATTTTTGGAAGTTAAATATCTCGGGAAGAAAACATTAGTTTGAGCTGAAATTTTCAGAACATCCTACTCATCAATAGGCCTGTCTGTGAGCGAAATATCATCATTCAATTTTTTGGTATATGCCGTGGTAAAGACTAAAACTTCAGTAAAATGTCCATAATTCGGAACAGAAGACCTATGGGTATTTGCCCTTTTCGGATTTTTCATACCTCAATAGGGTCTACCAAATGCATGAGGATCGATCCGCAAAAGTGATTTATCAGTTGGATATGTTCTCTCGTAAGTTACAATTTTAGTAAATATATGAATGTGACAAAGAGATGCTGCTAATATATTCCTCTAAATAGCAGATACATTTCGGTTCCTTATAAAAATAAATGTGGAAACGTCGGATTTCATCCGAGAGTTATCTGTACTGCAAAAAGTGCATGCGATATATGAGTCATTCTAGAATGTCTGAACACGAAAATTATCATGAGAAACAAGGCAATTTGATTTCTGGATGGAGTTTTTGTGAATTTTGAGACGTTTTTCAGGTGATGTTTCGTTAGAAAGCTATGACTTAGTTCAAAACCAATATCAAATTCGGAATCAGCGTTAAAAACTGAGTCGACTTATATATGTTGTGAATAATTCTGAGAAAATTTTTTTTTTTGAAAAATCCCTGTACTCCCCCTCAGGGATGGTCTGATCAAAAATGACAATTTTTTCGACAACTCAGCCATTTCTTGACGGATCCTTCTCATCTTCGAACTCGACCTAGATATTGATAAGACAATTCTGTGCACAAAATTTCAGCTCAATCGAATGTAATTGTGAAGAGTTATCGAATAAACGGACGGCCGGACACACTGACCGATTCTATAGTGTACTCTTTTTTTTTTGAGTACACAAAAAACTTTGCTTCTACACAAAAAAGTACTGCCCTCACAGCTATGATTAGCTACATACTCTTTCATTTCCTTAAATTTAGGCTCAATATCCAGTCAACATAATTCTCATAGTGTCAAATATGCTGTCAGTTGTCAACACATCACATACGTTAATCATAGTGACGAAACCGATTCTACACCCTATCCATCCAATCTTCTTCGTAATGTAGCTTGTATAGGCAATACGCTTCCTTCTGTAAAATACACTCTTACACTGGATATCGATATATTCCCAGCGCCTGATTTATTTCATCATCTTGTATCATTTTATACGAAAAAATCGATGCCAAACGAAATGTTTAATCGCACGCTCTACGTCATTCCAGCATTTGAAATTCATACTGATACAATAAAACGTTCTATTCTATTACCACAAAATAAACGGGAATTAATTTTACTATGGAACGATGAACATATTCAACCATTTCAAAACGATGTTTGTTCATCATGTCAATTTCTGACCAATTATAAAGCATGGAAACAAGAAACAAAAAACGATGAAATTCTACCCATATTTCGACCACATTACTCACTGCCATGGAAACCCTACTACGTTGGTCCTAAAGATGTACCTCCGTTTGATTCACGTTTTAAAGCACATGCACATGCAAGAATAAGTCAAGTAGAAAAGAATTTTTTTTTGTTTCTTCTTTCATTATTTATGAAGAAATTCTTGTTGTTTAGTGTTGCGAAAGCTTTATGGCTGGCTATGATTATGCTGTATTGAACAATGTTTATCTTTATCGGTTGGGTTTTCTTGATAAATCTCAATTGCCCAATACGAAATTAATTGAAGACGATACATCGTTATTACTTTTTCAGCAATTTCAAGAAGATCTATTAAAGCGTTATTCAAATACAACGAGAAGATGTTGATCTCTATCCAGATGAATATTGTTCTTGTATTCTTTTCTTCTTTTGTTCTTTATTATAAAAATACATCTATGATTGCCATAGAAATGCATAAAAAATTATCATTTGTAGATATGCGAGGCAGAGAAACAGTTTCGTCTGTAAATACAGTTGATGGCCTTGATCATATCATTGTTAGTCCACCGGTATCAATTAAAAATCGTCTACGAAATTTTGTTGGTTTGCCGAAACCGATAGATGATGACGATTGCTCTTGGTGTATGTTAATCATAGACAATAAAGTTTCTTTTTTGTTGTATTGTTTTGATTCTTTTAGCGACGCATACACTTCTATGTGCCACTGTCTTCCTAGAAGATGCTGTTAACTATCAATCCATAGTACATAAAGTGTCGAACCTTTATCTCTTAGTCTATCGATGGTTTTCCTGTTCATTGATTCAAAAGTAATAAGATTAACTTGAATGTTTTCATAGTAATAAATAATTGTTAATCATATAGTTTGCATCGCATTGCTCTAACAATTAATCTTTGTTTGGCGTTTTTCGAACGGCCATCATCATTTAGTATAACATCGGATGTTCGTGATAGACCTGCTCGCATTGTTTTCCCCTATGTGTTACTTATGATCATTGAGGGTTTAACACTCATTTGGTTTTTTGTTTATATTTGTACGAAAGTAAGAAACGAAATAGCTAATTCTTTGTTGTTTTTGCTAACGTTTGCGATCCACAGATTGCTTGTCTTGGTATCAAACATGCTCGAAAACGGTTCTGGTTCATTGCGTTTCTTATTGTAACAGTTTATTCTCTATGCGAATGGTTTCTTATGATTGCCGTCATTCGTTACTCCTATGACGGCGTATGTAGATGACGATCAATTGATGATTTGAACATGAATAGAAATAATATTTAGATTCGTCTTCGGCGTATTTTTCGTCCATTATTTATGGTTGAATCATCTCAATTAATGAAGAAAGCTTTAAAAGCTGTACAGAAAGATTTAGTAACGATTATAGCGTAAGCGAAATTGTACAAAAATAAAATCCTGATAATACTGTTCTTTGTAGTTGTGTTGCAATGGCACTTGCTCATATTCTTTTCTTCGCTATTATGGCGATGTTTCTCTTTCCGCGATCAGAGGTAAATTTCTATAAATATCGCTTCGGAAAAAATATTTGTCTTTGGTCTTGTTCAGACACAAAAGGATAGTCAAGGCAGTACTTATTTTTCCAATTTGCATGATTCCGTGTTTCAATTACTGGTACTCTATTCCACCGCTAACAATCCGGATGTAATGATGCCAGGTAGGGCTCATTTTGCTTTCGCTCTATTCGAAACAATCTTGTTCAATTTATGTGAATAGCTTATTCCGATAATCGACTGAATGTTTTATTCTTTCTCGTTTTTGTTATCATTGGTAACATGTATGACAATTGATAATAAACAATTGAATTTATTTTATTTGTCTATTTAATTCAGGCATTTATTGGATACAAAATTTAATAACTGCTGTTGTTTATCGAGCTTTTCGGGGATATTTTCTGAATTCAATTATTAATTCGCAATTGCGACGACGTGTTGCTGTCAAAGCTTCGTTTGAAGCTTTGAAAAAACGCATATTTAATCAAGCATCGAATGAGATTAGGTGTTCTATTCGGTTTTCTTTTCGTACTTAATATCGTTGAATTTTCGGTTGATTATAGTGATACAGTGCCTATATCAATTGTTCAAATCGTTGTCAATGCAGCATCCATGGGTAAATGGCATTCCGATCGAATCAATCAAGTAAGCGAATAACTCGTTACTGGACATAGTGTGATTGTGTGTCTATTTTAACTTGCAGAGATTATCTGAATTAAAATTTGAAACAGATACAATTGATTTTGATCAATATTCGCAGATAATGCTGCTTTTAGATTTAAATCCTAAGTTAGTAATGGTAAGACAAGATAAGACAAGCAAAATGAAAAGAGAGAGAAATAATCATTTATTTAAGGAAATTGAATTTGAAACATTAGGTGAAAATTTAATCGACCGATGCAAAGCTGTTGGGCGTTCGAGGATCTTCGATAGCATTGGTACTCTATTTGCTCTTCTAACTGTTATATTTACTACTGTTAGTATTGACGCTTTGGCTTTTGTACGGTAGATTTCATTTTATTTCTAATAGATTGAAGTCAGTAATCGTCATTTACATTCCGAATACAAAAATTTGGTCAATCATACATTACCTGTAGCGTTCACTAATTTCAGTCTGATGATTTATTTTGTCTTTGAAATCATTATGAAAGCATGGTCGTTTGGTGCAGATAAATATTTTCGCGCATCAACAGCTCACATTTTAGAAGGAACTATCGCTGTTGCATGTTTGGTAAAGTAACGAGAAAACATTTCTGGTTTATAATTTTAATTTAATGATTAATAGGTTTTACAAATAATACATATGGGACTTCACGGTTCTCCTATTGTTCCTTTAAAGTGAGAAGGAAGTCCTTTTTTGAAGCATTTTCTTCATTATATATAATTTTCTTCATCATATATAATTTTCTTTAGGGACCTGGATTTGACACAAAAGCAGATTCCATTTTTAACATTATGGGAAGCAATAAAAACATGCAATATGTTATTTATTTATCGATTAGTTCGATTTTTACCAGCATCGAAAAATATACGCATTGTCGTCGGTACTGTTATTGATGAAATTCGAAATGGTGGTGCGTTTTTCGGAGTTCTATTTGTAAGTGTGCGGTTTTTTGCGTGAGAACAAAACTTATTGCGATTGGAGGTGTAAGCCGTCGGCGATTTTTAGCGGAAAATTTTTAATTTTCGAGCCACCGCCGCCAACCGAGGCGTCGGCTTACACCCCTAATTGCGATGGAATTCTCTACCTGATTCAAATAAATTTGATCTACGTGTACATTTTTCTAGAGCTTTTATTATGCTTATTCAATTCTTGGCATGGAACTATTTCGAGGTGCTGTTGACAATCTTTATATGCGTCAAAACAATACTGATGCAATGTAAATAGATGATTAGTGTTGATTTTCGGGACGAAATTCGTTTTTATTCCAGGATTTGTGGAACGTATGAACAACTTGAATATTGGCCAAACGGTTTTGATGACTTTTTTGTAAGTTGAAAATATAATCTAGTTTCGGTAAATCTAAATGAGTTTGTTGAGTCACAAAATGGTGCGATTCAAATTTTCTCTAGATTTAATTATTTATATTTCGTTGAAGCAACGACTAAAATATAAAAATCTCGTCATCTACAGATCATCGTTTTTTTTTGTAAAACTTTGATTATGACTTGTTTTTAGTCCTCCATTGTTACACTCTATAATATAATGATTGTAAATCAATGGCATGTGTTTGTCACTGGTTTTCGGTCTGCAACAAACACAAGGTAAATATATTTTTCTTCTTCGTTTTCGTCTCATATGAGGTTTTATTGAAAATAGATGGAGCGAATTATATTTTATTTTTTGGTATTTATTTGTAACAACAATCGGACTAAATATCTGTCTTGCGCTGAGTGGTGATGTACGTGTTTTCTTCGATGTATTCTATTTGGATTGTTGCTTTGCATTGATTTTAGATTCATGATGCTAAAAAGAAACGAGCTGCTGACCACGAAGAACTAATTGTATCGAATATGTTTGATATTTACCGGTACGTAACAAATTAGGAAGTAGTTGATTCTACTCTACATTCAAAATATGAATTCTTTGATTTTAATTTTTAGATCTCAGATAAATGAGCCACCACCTGAAGTGATAATACAACAGCTGAATGCACATCCGTATATTGATTTTAGTGAAAAATTAGGTGAAGGAGTCACTGTTGCTTGAGCGAAAGCTGTTTTTTTTCTAATTAATTTTTTAATGAGTTTTGTAATAATTATAAAAATTTAAAGATTTTTTGCTTTCGGTCTAAATATTTTTCCAAATTAATCTGATAAATATTTATTTGATTTGATTAAATACATATATACATTCATATAACGCCTATCTCACATCCATGAACTTGAGTCATGTATTGTTTGTAGAATCCATTCTGAATAGTAAGAAACTTTCGTATAAACACCAAGACCAGCACAACTAAACCCCCATGAAATTAGACCAACTAAATGCCATCGACCATTACGCAACAGAGCCATTGGACCACCTGAATCACCCTATTGATAAGACACTATTATTTTCATTCTAAATATAAAATCTTTGAAATTTACTTGACAAGAATCGCACGTAGAATTTTCACATAAACCAGCACACAAGGTTGTTTCTCGACGAATTCCTTGCAGTGCACATTGATCATTGGATTGAATCGGTACTTGAACTTCATGTAGATATCGAAAATTTCCCGTACCTGATGTCATGCAATATTGAATTCTTTTTATTTTAGAAATCTTTGAACTTTACCTTGAGTTGAACCCCAACCGGTAATAATTGTTCGTTCACTCTGTTTAACAGTGTCTTGTGCAGCCGATAGACATATAGGTCGAATAAATGGATTGAATGCAAGGGGTTCATATAATTGAAGTAGAGCAATATCATGCATCCATCTCGTTGATTTCCCACTATATGCAGGATACTATTTAAGAGAGACAAGAACGTATAGTTTATCATAATCGAAAGCATCGCTATAGTGTTCGTATGGATCATATAATGAAAGTCTTTTGAACTAACACAGATCGGTACCAATGCTCCTATCTGAATCCCCGAATGAATGCGGAACAGTGTGTTTTATTAGCTGGAAAAAATTCAAATACCTACCACTACCACTTTTTTGATTGTTCGAGCAACTCGCGAAGGTTCTATCCGGTATCGGTCATGTATACCGAATTCTACTAATAAATGTTTTGATTTCGTTCTATGTTAAAGAAAAAAAACAGAAATTCACAATCATTCCGTTGTATGAAATATAATTATTTATATGTATACCCATTGACACAATGTGCCGCTGTGATTATCCAATTTCTATTGAGAACACTGGCTAAGATATTGAAAGAAAACAGTTATAATATTCAAAGGAAAAAATGCTTACCGCCACAAAACTGCCCACGATTATACAGAAGAGCTTGCCACGGATGACTATGTGCTAATGCTTGTCGTCCGCCAACAATACGGCTAGAAATTTCATTATAATATCGATTATTAACAGTCCATGTCAAGCCACATTCTGAATATAACCAATCTGGATTATTGATGTGTTTTTCGAATGGAAATGTAGTTGTTTCTACTAGTGCAGGCGGAGTACTCGATATTTCTAACAACAAAATAAAAACGTCTTTCAAAATTCAAATAAACAAATAACAACTCACGTGGAACGTCAAACAATTGATAATTCATACGAAAAGATACTTCAAGTTTCGGATCAACAATACGAAGTTCAATCATTAGCATTTGCCCGATGCCTGCAACACGGACACTATGACGATCACCACAGATTTCCAGTTTTTCATGTTTTAACCCAACTGTCCATAAGCCAATAGATCCGCGACGGCAGCCTGTATGCAAATATTCTTGATCCGATATCGGAATAAACAAATAATCGAATTCTATGTTAATGCTCTATACAATCAAGGTTAGTTTATTTAAAAAACATTTCTCACAAATAACCTGATGAGAAAAACCCACAATCAACCATTGACAATTGATAGGTAATTCACCAGACACTGTAATAGTTTTATTGACAATCAGAAAGCCAGCGTTATCGTTATAACTTCGTAGCAACGGACAATCGTAGAGACTCACATTTTGAATGACACTCATTAGAATGAATATTATGAACATAAAACCGTTTCCTACGATATGTTCAAATAATAAACCGAAATAAAAGCTCTTAAACTCGATGATCTTACCACCGGACGATAGAAAAATCATCTTGGTGTTGGCGATAACGACGATCGAAATCGATTTGAATTGCCGACAGTTTTCGAATCATTTTTGTAGGGTTTTCCTTTTATCGGGTTTCAAGCAACCATGAATAGTTATCTTTTTCTCTTTCTTTCTCAATGATAAAGAATATTTTTCATTTGACCTTCAATTAAAAGGCAAAAGACTAAACATGATCGATAGATCTCGACGCAAAGTTTTCTTCTCATATTCATTTTTAAGTCTTGTTGAAACTTCAAATATATCATATTCTTTTTTTTCTTCTCCATCTCTTCTACTAACGCAGACAGTACTGTAAGACGAGTGTCTTAAATTTCTTTCATGTGACCTCAACAGAACAGGTGAACTTGTTTGGCTTCTTCTCTTTATTCGATTGAGTATACAATAGAAATATTTATGCAAATGATCATCGCTCGGCAAATAAGTCTGTCTCCTTCTCGACATGATATATATATATGTTTTATCGTCTCAATTAGTTTATTGCATTCGAATCGACTGGAATTGAGAACTTTTATTCGTTCCTAGGCTGCCATTATCATCATCAAATGTCATATTAGGATAAATGATGAATAGAAATTCGGTTTTTTTTTAGTGAAAGATTGATAAAGTAATAATAACAATGTTTTTAACATTGAACACTTCAATATGATAGTGCCGAATACGAATGCGCAATTCAAATATACATGTAACTTTTCTCTTGTTGTCGCGTTCTCTTTTGTTCTGAATATGTGTATTATGATTGCAAGTTTGTGAGCCTACGAGCTTGAGTAGTCAGTTGGCTTGTATGTGCTCAGTTTGTTGCTTATAGGTTGTCTATTATTTTAGCTCTCGCCATCGTCAATTGTAAGTAAAGAATGTATATAAGGCGTTTGCCTAGCACCATTGGCCGGTCATTGACTCACACCGACATCGTCTTTCTTCCCCCCTCTTTTTCTTTACTATCGATTATAAAAGGGCTAATCTATATGTGTGCTGTTACAACCTTTTTTTTACCTCTTGCGTAGTAATCATAGCTGGTATACAAGAGAGAAAAAGGGAGAAGAAGAAAAAAAACGAACGGAAGGACGACGACCAAAAACAAGCGATAGTGATACGCACACAAAGAGTCAGTTGCTTGCCTGCCCCCTCGATTTGTCGGCCTAACAGTGATTATAATTTGATCGTTCGGGTTCAATTTTTTCTTTTCTCCTTTCGCTGAGACAGCGCGGTGTTAGTAATGATGATGATGATGATAATGATTATTCCAAAGTAAATACAATTTGACTCTTTCTCTTTTCATTGCCTTTCTCTCTCATGTTCAGATGGACAATGTATATTTGTAAAGAATTGAGCAAATTGTTCGTAAGCTCATTAAATTTTTATATATTGTAATTCTTCCACCCTTCATATTTATCGTTATGCAACCGAATTTCAGTCAGAATTGTTTTACAAAGAGACAACATAGCTCAATAAAATTCCTGATCGATTTTTGTCTATACATAATAAAACATTCAAAATTTCTTCTTTTAATTATGAAAAAGATTGGTACGTATGATTATTATTCGTTTCATCATCTTTGAGCCGAAGATTGTTTTAAAATATATTTCATATTTTAACTCAATATCAACTATTGTAAATTTTTTTTTTCTATAGATTTAAAAAGTCTTCGATGCTTATGTCATTAAATTAGTTAGACACTTTTAAGTTTTCCTATTGCTCAACGGTACGAGAGAAGTATTTGATTTATTGCCTTTCAGAAATTTACCATTTAAAATACTCTTTACAAGCTTCTTAAAATCTTCATATGTATTACATAAAGAATTTTTCAATCTTCGCAAGTTTAAATCTTGTTCTATTTGCGCATTGTTCTGTTTGGAGTAAAATAAAAATTCAGTTTGCAACTGTACAGATCGGATTTCTGTTTTCAATCTCAGCCTGGAGGTCTAATCTTATTACATTTTCCTTTCTTCTTCTTCTGCCAAAGCACTTCGATCATAAGAAGAATGAAGTGATACTTGTGCACTTTACTGTTCCCCGTTATATTACATTTTCGCATGCTTTTCACAATCACACATATGCACTCTCGGGAGGTCGCCACAAGTCCTAAGGACTATTGGTTAATAGATAGGATTTGTTTATTTATATTGTGCCAATAATGATTCTACTTTTCAGATGCATTATTATTATAGAATTCAATAGTCAAGACGTGTTCGTTGATAAATAAACTATGTCAAGTTTACTACCATCGTCGTCATCTCCAATGAACGCAAATATGAATTCTGGTGGTGGTGGTGGTACATTACAACGTTCATCTGTAAATAATGCCGCAGCGGATGCGTTACGAAAAAAAATGCAACAACTACGAGATGAACTTGAATTAGTGAAAGATGATTTAGAACGTTCACGAAAAGATTTTGAAAAAGAACGACATGCTCGTGAACTCGTTAGTTTTAATCTTTTTTTTTCAAAAAACAAAATGATTGATGTGTTTTTGTGCATTGCAGGCTGAATCTGAAGTTAGTCAATTAACACGAAAACTTCATTCATTTGAAGAACAACTCGAACGTACAGAGGAACGATTAATACAAACAGCAAATAAACTCGAGGAAGCATCGCACACTGCTGATGAACGAGAACGGTGAATTTTATTTTATTTTTTTTGTTAAAATAATATAAACAATCGTATTTTTATTCTAGAACAAGAAAAATGTTGGAGAATCAATTAAATCTTGGTAGCGATCGTACAGAAATTCTTGAAGTACAATTGAAAGAAGCACGTGCTCTTGCTACAGAATCGGATAAAAAATATGATGAAGTCGCACGAAAACTTTTAATACAAGAAAACGAACTTGAAAAAGCCGAAGATCGAGCTAAAAGATCAGAAATGTAAAAATATTGTTTTTAGATTTATTGTTTCAACTAAAAGCAATGTTCGTTTTAGGAAATGTGTGGATTTAGAACATGAAGTGAAAAATCTTCATCATCAGTTAAAATCATTTTTGGCTCGTATTGATGATGTAGGTTCCAAAAAAAGAAAATTTATTTTATTTAATGATTCATTTTTTTATAGGCTCAAAACAAAGAACAAACTTGCGAAGATCAAGTTCGTCGTCTATCTCAACACTTAAAAGATGTACGTATATAATTTTTTTTTATTGAAAGCTTCTTGTTGAGAATAAAATCAAAAAAAATTAGGCGGAACGACGATCAGATCTTGTATTTGATGAACGAACTAATCTACAAAAATCAGTAGGAATTCTTACAGGTATTCCTTAAGCATCAGAGAATGAAATTTGATTGTTATTTTTTTTTGCTTGATTTGCATGATTTCTATTGCTGTGTTGCATGTCTATAGGCTGAAACTCGTGCTGAATATTCTACTAAACAAGTGCAACGACTACAGCGTGAAGTGGATTTACTTGAAGGTTTGCATTTTATTTTTATTTTTGGCATCTTATATATATATAGGCTTATTTTCAATGAAGCTTACGCATGTAGAATAGTATAGTTGCTTTATTTTATAAAAATGATATGTCTGACAGGAGAAAATTCTATTGTGATGTAACCTTCAGAAAACAAGGACTATCGATTAAGACCAACTGACACGTCGTTTTGGCAACTATTCAAGTGGCTGAAAGAGCGTGAATATTTCCCAATCGACTTTGACTATGGAATTTCTGTTATTAGGTTTTCCGGTGATAGTCGCTCATATTAGAAACAAGTCAGTCTGCTTTTGAGAATTCTGCTTTGAAGCATTAATTTTTGAATTGGTTTTATTTCGGAGAAAAATTTAAAATATTTATTTTTGACTATTTTAGAAGAACTACAAACTGAACGTGAGCGTTGTAAAGGTTTACAATGCGAAATGGAACGCTGCTTTTCTGATTTACAATTACTTTAAGAATTCTCAACGCTATCTCACACATCTGTTCGCCAAACATTCATTGTTTTCCTTCTTGCATCATTATTAGCGGACAATATATGTTCGCCAACCAATTGTCAATATATTCTTTTTGTGTGTGCGTGTGTGTGTGTCATTTCGCTTTTTTTGTTCTTAATAAAGTAATCACGTTATTATCTTGTACTTCAGATATTGTTTTTCTTGAATTTTTATTTCCCGTAGTTACTATTATCTTCTAAAGAAAAAAATACTAATAAGAGCATATTTCTGTGTGTGTGTGTGTCTATAGGTAACAGTAAACGTAAATCATGTGTATATCTCTTCAGATGTTTATACAATCATGGGACGAATTTGCTAAACAAGCTGAACGATTATATCTTAATGATCCAATGGCTTGTCGCCTGTGTTTGAAATATCGAAATGAGAAACTTATACTTCGTCTAACTGACAATCGTACCTGTCTTCAATATAAAACCAAATATGCACAAGATTTGAAGAAAGCTGAAAAATTTATGTCAAGTCTTCTACGACATATGGCATCCAAAGAAGCATAATCAGAGCAAAGCTAATTGCCGTCGTTCGTCTTATTGTTTTTTTTTATTATTATTATTTCAAATGAAAAAACAAAAATAAAACGAATTATGAAATAATTTAAATTCTTACAAAAGAAAACAAAAGACACATCATAAATTTTCACTTGTCGACCTCTTTTCTCTTCTTGTTGTTTTTTGAAGTATACATCAAAGAGAAATTGGCTCTTGTTGTTTTTTTTACGACCTAGGCTGTTATCGATTCGCACCTCTATTTTGTCTCTCTTGCACTCGTCTTATACGAAATGATTTAGGCGAAATGATTGAGACAAGAGATTGATAAGAAGATGAACATGAATATCCCCTTTCATCCTTTCGAATGATTGATCAATGAAGAAAATATGAAATACATAAAGTTTATTGATTATTACATGAGAAAAGAATGAGCATGGTTATTAACAAGCAATCGACTAATGATGCATAGGAGAAGAAGAAGAAGAAGAAAAATTGATGAATTTTATATTAGATAGATAAATGACATGATGATGCGATCAACGAAGCCGACGCGCTTTTAATCGTTTTATATATCATTGATAATGATAGGACAGTAAAAATTAGTATTAAAAAAATCTATGCTTAAAAATGTTTTGAAGATCAAATAAATTCAGTTATGATTTTTGACTTTGACAAAAGAGAAAAAAGAAAACTTGGTTTAAGTTCAACTTAATTTTCCTTGAGATCTTCTGGAAAAGACCGGGAAATGAATTTGTTCATAATATTTTATTTTGTAATAATTGAAAGAAAAACACAAGACGAAAACAAACAGAAGAAATCAATATTTTATACAGAGTCCATCGTATTAAGCAGTAGAAGAATCATTGTTCGACTAGAACGTGCGTTAAGAATTAAATTAAGATAATTGAAGATATTGTTTCTTTCACGTGCTTGTTGTTGTTGTTGATGATGATTGTTGATTCACTGCATTCGATCGAAACGATCCTAAGCCCATAGCTGGCAAAGCAAAATTAATCGATGGTTTCGAAGGTGAATATTGTTGATGGTTTTGTTTAGGCGATGAACTAGACGATGTTGGTGATGATGCTGATGAACATGAAGTTGTTGTATCAGTTGAACCATTCAATATTTGAGATGGAGGAGTCGATCGAACTCGGGCTGCAGCTAATCGTACAGCAGCCGCTGTTACTGGATTCATCGGCGGTATCAGTGGATTGCTTGTCGGTTGTGCCGGCGATGGTGGAACATAACCTGAAGCTGCTGCTGCATACATATAGGAAAAATAAGAAAATGGATCTCCGGGATAACCCGGCCAAGCAAATGCTAATTTTTGTCGTTTATCTTTCATTCGTCGATTTTGAAACCAAACCTAATAGAGAATTCGATCAGTATTTCGGATTCTTTTATCGTCTTCTTACTTTAATCGTCGATTCTGGTAATTGTAATTCAGCTGCTAATTCACAACGTCTTGGTCGGCTAACATAATTTTCGCGAAGAAATTCTTTTTCAAGTCTTGCTAATTGTTCACGTGAAAATGCTGTTCGATATCGACGAATATTATCATCGTTAAGATTCGAATTATTATTATTATTATTATTATTATTGTTATTATTAAGAGAATTATTCATTGAAGTACTATTCAAATTGTTGGAATCATCTGTAGAAAAAAGTAATTAATTCACTTAAAAAAAAATTTTTCTTCTTACCATTATCATCAGAAAATATTTCATCGTGAAACATTCTCGAACTACTTGCTAATAGATATGCCGACGGATTACTACTACCTAACATTATTAAATGAAATATTCGATTAGCAATTGCAGACAAATCTTGTTTTTCTCTTCGTCTTTTTTCTCCTTACTCTCTCTCTCTCTCTCTCTTCCCCTCTCTTCTCTTGGCGATTATTCGTTCTATCAATGATTGTAAGCGAGCAAAAGAAATTCGATTGGTTAAATATAAATAAAACGATCAACAACGACTGGACAACATTTCTCTTATAAATGATCAAGTTGATGAGACGACAAACAAAGCAAATAATTGCTAATATCATTAAATATAGGATGAACGTGAGGTGTGAACAATGAAAAGTATAATTAACAGTTTACTTCTCTTTCCCGTTAAAACCGGACGAATGTAAACAGATAAGACAGACTTTGCATGAACAATTCAGATGAGACAATTTACTACCAAAAAAGTAATACTAAGTCGGACATAAATGTCGTTGATTATTTTGTTTCTTTTTTCCTAAATGAAAACATTCGATCGGATACGACTAATTGGCCGAACACAACAATAACTGCTCCGCCCTTATTGACAAACGTTGGTGTGTGTGTGTGTCTCTTTCTATAGCTACAAAAATAGACGCGTGCAAAAATATTGAACACACGCGATGTTCATATATATCCATTTTTACATTTTCAAGGGTCAATAAATATACACATTAAAATGACCATCATCCCATGGCCGCCAGTCACAAAACTAGTATGTCGTTAATCAATGATAGATAATCACACGTTTTCAATCGATTTAAACAAATCGTTTTTTTACTTATTAAATACAATTCTAAATGCTCATTAAAGGTGTTTATTTGTGTTGAAATCGATTCGATCAATCACAGCCAACAAGAGTTGTTCGCTCGTCTTTCTATTTGGATTAATTTTATATGCCATTTATTTATTGGCATTGGTTTTTATCAAAAGATCAAAGTAGATAATTCGTTGTCTATTCGCTCTGAAAGTCGGATTGCTTTTTACATGGCTCACAAATGAAAGGATAGAATTTTTGACTGGACTTCTTTTTTCTATTTCTACGAAATAAAGATTTGAATGCAACCGACTTCAATCCCTCTTTATCACATATGTGTAACCATTCACATCTTCTACTAGACCGCTAACGATTCGATCGACCATTGTCATAGATGGAAAAAGACAATTTGATAGAAAGATAAAGGATCATCTCTTTTATTTTTTGTACTCCAAATTGATCGTTATAGAATAAATAAACTACATATAAATATTGTCTTTCTACTAGGTCTTATTTTATATACATATTGCGCGATGTGATAACTGAGTTTGAAGTTCTTCGATTAGTGTCTATTATTAGAGAACATTCATACTGCCGACTAAGTCTCATATAATACGCCCACACATCTGCTTGAGACTTCCCATAATAGTACCTTGTTTCGATTTGTTCTATACTACTATATGTACTATTTTTAAGACACAACTACGCATGAGGTCAAGTAAGAAAACAAGAAACTTACTATCGTCGATGATACCATGATCGATCGAGAATGAAAAATCATTTTTATTTTGATGATTGTGCTTGTAAATACCCATTATGCTTATAGCCTGGAGTAAGATGATAATGTTATGATTTCAATTGTTTGTATGTGTTGTATGCTGAAATAAATAATGATGATTGTACTGAAATGAAGCGATATCTTTTTCTTTCTCCCGCTCTCTCTCTCTCTCTCTCTGCCTTTTCCGATTCGTTCTTGTTTTCAAACGATTTTCAACACCAATCACGTTAGGTGCGACTAGTCTATCAATCGATGGCAATAACCGTTTTTCGCACCGTTCGATATCCACATTACTTATAATAAAACAAAAAGGAAATGATCTCTCTTCCTTTACCGCATCGATCTATAAAAACAAAAAAAAAGAAATCATAAAACTGTCTGTTATAAGTCAGCGTGTTTAATTGCCGTAACCTATTTCAAAAAGAGCTTTGTTTTCTTTTCTCTTCATTTCTCACATAATATTACCAAAAACACCATGAACAATCTGAATTTTCTGATCAGCCGATAGTTAAGCTCTTATTAGTATTCATAAAATTAATTATGGAAAGTATCAAGAAGTTTAGTAAATATTCTTCCTTCTAATGTTAATCATTAAGCTTTCTTTCACTTCATCTTACTTTTGTAATATATGCTGAGATTGTACAGGGGCGTAAATAGGAGGGGGGGGGAGGACGCGCCATCCCCGCTGCTTTTGAAATTTCAAACGGTGCACTCCTGCTTCAAAAATTTATTCTAAGAATCGTAAAAATCTGTATTGCGCCCCACCCCCCTCTGCTTTGAGACCCGAGTTACGCCCCCGAGATTGTATACTTCGACGAATGCACATTTCCGTTAATTTCTAATTATACAACATATTGAATTTCTTTTTTGTTTTATTAAATAAATGATCTTATGATGTTTTTAGTACAAATTGATCTAAATCATCGTGTTCTTTCTGCATCATTTAATATCCGTTTGAAATGGAAATTTTTCTTTTACAACTTTGCTTTATTTTTTATGCTCATATATACGCATCAAACTCTCGAGGGTCATCGTATACATGAAAAACAATAACAACAGGTCAAAGAAAAAGAGAGAGAGAGAGAGAGAGAGAGTTGTGTCGACGATTAACACGTTTAGTCAAGAGTCGTTACACATTTCAATCAAAGAATTCGCATCCGAAATGCAAATGACATGTGTTATGTTGTTACTGCTTGATTGCATCGCACGAACAAAGATCAAACGGAAACTATTGGTGACAAGTTTTGAGAAAAGAAAATTTATTTGATATTATCATTTAACTTACGTCAAAAATACAAACTTGTTCAATAGCAGTTGATAGATTAAAAAGTTTGTCTTTGATCGAATCTATGCATCTATGATAGAGATCATAACATCAACATGTCGTGTATAGTTTGTCTCTTGTTTTCAAGCTAAAATTTGATCAAACGAAGACACAGATCATAAATCACGCTGCTCATCTTCATTAGCTAGACGAAATGAAATTAATTTTTTTTTGTTTCCTTTTGAATATGATACCGCTCCACATGATAGTTCGAAAATAAGATAAGGGAGGAGAAGCCGCCATTGTTGATTCGCTTACCTGCAAAGTTGATGCGTTACCGTTTCACTTGTATGAATAGATAACGATGGTTCAAAACAAAAAATGTGTTTAGATTATTGAATATATGAAATCAGTATTTTTTAAAGTTCAACTTTGTTTTTATGATGTCAGATGAAACCCTTTGTATACGATGAAAATTGAATCGATGACATTCAGTCTGTAATTATCAATTTAAATAACATCTCAATGATAAGATATTTCAAGAAATGATGAGATTTATTTTGCCACAAGATTTTCAACCAAAAGGTTAAAAGCTATTATTGAAAAAAAATCATCATAGGGACGTGAGTAACTTGCTGCCCTCTATTGACTGCATAAATCAATAAAAACAGGACATGCTGGGTATTGTTTTGGATTGGTTGCTTTTTATACTGTTATGTGTTGATGATGTGATGATAGCACGGTTTCATTTACACCATATTGGGTATTAGTACGTCCTATTGAAAAATTAGTAGCAAAAAATAATACTTAATTAATTAATTAATTAATACATTATATATATATGCAATGTTTCGTCGTGGTATAAAACGTCCACGTTTTAGTGTTGGTGGTCATGGTGTTTTTGAACATGACGATTCATCGAATCATTCAGGATTTGGTATGACGGAGTACGAAGAAGATTCTTCATCTCAACAACTAACAACAAATAATTCCGATTCAAATTTTCTCCTAAATCAAAATTCACTCGAGCGACCAAAACGTGTTCAAAAATTGTTAACAAAACTTCATACTGAAGATAATACAAATTTAAATGCATGTCTCGATCATCTTCTACGTACTCTATCACGTAAAGATAAAGAAGGTTTCTTTCAATATCCTGTCACTGATCAAGTAAAAATTTTTGAAATTCCTCAAAAAAACAAATTATCTTTCTCAAAATATGAATTTTCTACATAGTTTGCACCAGGTTACTCGCAGATAATTGCACGGCCAATGGATTTTTCTACCATGAAAAAGAAAATTACTCAAGATGATTATTCAAATGTAATTGAATTTCGGTCCGATTTTGAATTGATGTGCGAAAATGCTATGAAATATAATCGTCCAGATACAATTTATTGGCGAGCAGCTAAGAAGCTGCTCGCAACAGGAGCGAAATTAATGAATAAAGACAAATTATTAAGTTTTCGTCGTGGTGTTGAATGTTTTACTCGTCTTAGTGAACGTGAATTAGGCTTTCGTATTGATTCTTCAAGTCATTCGATGGATGAACAAATAACGTCATCCAATGATCCCTATGATTCGTCAATAAATGATCCTGAAAATCTTTCGTCGGCTAGTTTGAATCAATCATCTGTGCAGCGAAAGCCAAAATTAATATTAAAACTACCGAAATTTTATGAGAAACCTCCGGCATCAGTTGTACCCGAGGAAGAGGATGACGAAGAACTATCACCGGAAGAAACTCTCGCACAAGCTAAACTTGCTGCACAATGCGCACATGAAAAACTTCGTTTACGTCGTTCACTCTGTTCCTATACACTTGTGTATCAACGTAACAAAGGGTCCACATCATTACGTTTCATAAATCAAGATGATTCGAGTCAACAAAGTGTCGCACTTGTGGAACTAGATCATTTATCGACCAATGAAGATAATTTAAATATTTCTTCAGCGTTACCGATTGTGACTGAAGATGTAAAACGAAATCATTTACCAGCAAAAGAATTTCTTGAAAATGGACCCTTTTCATCGAATTCATCACAATATGATTCAACATTTTCTTCTGTACCGAAAGAAGAAGTCGATTTATTAATACATACATATGGAAGTGAATTTTCAGCACAATATGCCGTTTCATTGATGGATTATGTTAAAGATGCGGGAGATTTGGCATTAGCTTATGTGGATAGATTTTTATCAGTATTAACCAATGGTGAACACGATAATCTTATTATGAAAAAACGAGAGAAACAGCCTAAACTAGAAGAAAGCGAATGTAAAATCGACGAGACAGCTGCAACGAATAATGGTAAGATAAAAACTAATGTTATCGCTTTTCAATATGGTTTAAATCCTTTCAAAATATTCCACCGAAAGAAACTTTCTTTCTAAAAGTTCGCTCCAGAATTGATTTCCAATAGTAAAAGCAATCAGTGCGGCTTTTTTGACTGAAGGCTAAAATTTAATAACTATAGACATTAAATATCATATGCGAGCAGGTTTTATCTCACTAATCTATTCATCCTATGAGAAATTTACCATCTGGCAGCGAAAAAGTTTATTGAGGACTTGAATCAAAGTATAAACTTCTATCTCTCATAGTTCCATCAATCGATCCAATGTCATCTGCCGATGAAATTAAACTGGAACCACAAATACATACTCATCTACCACATCTACAAGCGGACACAAAATTAGATGAAAATTCAAAATTGCATATACAATTCAATCGTTTGTCACAATCATCAAGTCAACTTCATCGAGTAATTTCTTCGCAACAGACAGATGAACAAGCGATTGATTATGATTCGGCTGAAAAAGTTCTTTTTAATTTTAACGATCTAACATCGCTATCAAATGGTCCTGAGAAATTAATCACGTCGGAGAGTATACATCATAATCTTGGTATTATTAGTAATAACGAACCATTATTTGATGCATTGTAAAATTTTATTTATTTTGTACAAAAAAAAAAATTAAAAGGAAACTCAGAGACAGTGGTTGATTCCTTTATGTATATATTTCTATTTTTCAGATATAATTACTCCGCTGTAACAACTGATTCTGCGTGTTCTGAATAAATTCTAGTCAAACATTCTTAAAACTTTTGATTAATTGGGCTTAAAATATGATCATTTAATTTCAGATCTAGCCTGAGATTTGTTTTTATTAAGAACCTGATATGTCGAACATTGTGCAGAAACTTCAACTATCACCAGTAATTGTTATTTTTTTTTATGTTACTTTCAAACTTTTCCCCTCCTATTGACTAGATTCGCCCAATGCAAGAATTTGCTGGCGGTAATCAATGGGCTAAACCAACTTTAAATCCCAAAGAATTCGGTGAACTTCAAAAACAAGTTGTTGCTAATTTAATCTATTATCAATCAAATTATGGTGTTATTCTAATACCTTTTTTTTTTCTGATCGCGTAAGATGTTCAGCATTTTCGTATTGTATTTATATTGTTTTACCTTTGCTTAGATTTTGTAATCTAACAGCTATTCTTTTTGGTCTTGCTGTTGTTGCCGGTCTCGTCGCTGCATTCGTCTATGGAACACGTGAAAAGCCTGCTGTTACAGCTCCTCTACAGGATCGTCCAATTCTTGTACTTATACTTGTTCTTGTTGTCGCTTATTTTGTTATCAGTATGCTCGGAACTGTATCCATCTTTTTAACTGGTATTGCTTTACCATTAGCTTGTAAGTCGTAGAAGATAGATAGAATTGTATATAATTTTTTCATGAAATTTAGTAATCGTTGGTCATGCAACAGCTCATAAACCAGCACTACAAAATACAGCCGAAAGTCTTTCATCACAAACTTCTCCAATGGGTCTTTTACTTGGTTGGCTAGGTACAAAACCCGCTGAAGAACCAGCGAAACCAAAAGCCAAAGGCAAATGAATGTTTCTTTTTTTCTTCTCTATATGGTGATCTGTTTGTGTACTTGCTCTCGGTGTTGGTTAGATCTTCTTTTATTTTTGTTTGCAATTTGTTTTCTCTTATAGTCAAGGGTTTATTTCTTTACATTTTATTTTTTTCCTAGTAGAAATGTTTGTTTAACGCAATTGAAATGAAATAAATTAGAATTTGAAAGAATACGTCTTTTGCAAAATTTATTTTTTAATCCGAATTAAAATAAAAGTTTCCTATTCAAAGCCACCATTCAACAATATCCGCTAAATCATTGCTCAATGGCCTAATCATATCGTGAGATGGTGGATAATAAATAGTCGGCCGAATAGGATATTCTCTTCCATGATCTCGAAATGCGACACGAATTTTATCTCGACTTGTGATTGGTTCAATCCAATTTGTATCTGAAGTATCATCAGGTAAATTATGCCGAAGAAATGAAAGTTCAGGTTGAAATAGAATGTGACAATAATTATTAAAACCATGAGAATATCGTGGATGTGTTTCAGGATAATGAGGTGTAAATGTTGTGATAAAAAAAGTAATACGATCGAATTCAAATACCCAACCGTTTTGACCAATACGTGATGGTGAAACGTTCATACAATGTCGTTTCGCTGGATCATGATCGGAAAGAAAACGAAGAATTTGCTGGAATATTTGTCCGAAATCCTTTTCGCAATAAAGGAAATCAGAAAGTTTTAATTTGAAAAGCAAAGATCTATTTACTTCAATAGTTGCTGTTGCATGATTATGAGGAATTTCAATCGCATAACCATCTATGGATATATCTTTTACAAATGCACAGAAGAGAATAAAACTCGCTAACAGTCTAGAAACAAAATTACATCAATAACGTAGATAATATATCTTTGAATTACCGTTCACAATTATCGTCGATTGATAGATTGTCAAGCCAATGTGGTGCAGTCCAACATCGCGCTCGTTTAGCAAATATACAATTGGATTTCTTTTGTATCTGATGGAATTCACGAGGAACGTTTGCTTGACTTTTATTGGCATAATGTTCAAATAGAACTTGTTTTGCGTGACTAAAAAAGAGAAATACTCGATTGATAAAAGATAAATATTTAAAACGTACTCAATTGTTGTCACGGATAAATCATTATCATTGGTAGAATAGTTAATTTTAGCTTTCGTTTGTATTGAACCGCGTTTTTTAAGAAGATAATGTGTACCTATAAGAAGATATCAGCTATTCAGTTTGCTTTTATTTATATAGATTTTGTTTTTATTTTTAATAACACATCTACATTCTACTTAATAGGATACATGTTTTTTAGGTTTATTTTTTGCTTCGCTTTGTTTTTGTTGTTATTTCTACTGTCTTTTTCGTTGTAATTGTTGCTGTTACAGATGATGCTTTTTGACCAATGGGAATATCGTATCGTACATTTCCATGAAGTTTTAATTCCTGCTGGCAATATTCAACAATATCATCGGTTAAATATTCACAAACGAGATCAAATGCATGTTCTTCATCTTTGACAAGTTTTTTAAGTCGATCGATTCGATCTCGAAGCCATACGATGAACTTTTCTTCATTTAATTTGATTGAATGTTTACCAAGATCAATATCACAAATAGGACGAAGTTTTTCAATAACAACATCATCATCTAATTGTAATTGTTGAAGTGAATCAGTCATAATTGTTTTTAATGAAAGAAAACTTTTACGAGCATGAGACCAAAGTGTAGGTAATAAAAGAAATATTAAATTGACTGGCGTAACTATATACAAAGATCCATCTGGCAATACATGTTGATCATTAATAAACCAACTCGAATGTGAACGAACACTTCGAACAAGTTCAAAGACTGTTTGAGATTGATGATCGACAGCATAAGATTGTTCCTGTTTCGTACGAGGATGAGTGAGTTGAACGAAATGAAATTGTTCGACATTAGTTGGTGCAAGACGTTTATCCACAATTAAAACTCGATCGGGCGTTAAGTTAGATGAAGACATCTGAAAATGAGTAAATTATTGACTTACCAAGAACAAGAATAGCGGCTAGGATTGATTTGAGAGTTATATGAATAGTGAAAAGAAGAAATATGGCAAGCGATGATAATCGTAATCCTGATACCACATTATCTGGTAGTATTAGTTGATACATCTGTCTGTGCGCGTCGATCTATAATAATTATTCGATTTAAATAAAGAAGCAAACAAGTTGAATCATCTCTACAACGCGTTGGCAACTGAATCATACTTATATAATTAAACCAATCAAAACAAAACAGACTTCTATTTGAATAAGTATATGAGTCATTGCATGCACGAATAAAATACTTCAATAGATTCTTTATTTAACTTGCTATCCATCTGAATTTGTTTTGGGGTCGAAATACATGATTATAAAATAAATTGATTCGCTGTTAATTTCATGTGAGTGACTAGTTCTGTCGACATTAAAAATACATCGAAGTAGTACCGATAGTAATGCAGCGAATCTAGAATAGCTGTGGGATTTGGTGACCATTATCGAAAAGCTGTAATTTAAAATTTGCTTAAACTATTGAACTCCAATTTACATATATACTACAATTTTCTCTCAGTCTCTCTCACACATATGAAGATCAAAGATAACATTAATTTGTAGTATATTGCATCTAGTTTTCAAATTACTAGTTATTTTTTAGTTTGCAATATTCTTAAAATATTCCAATTGAAAAGTAGACAAACTCATGAAGTAATCAGGATGATTCAGTAGTGTTTTTATTTTTGTTACGAAATCTATAATTGTAATTTCACTTTTCATCGACATCGCTTAACAGTTGTTTACTACAGATTTAGTTTATTTTCTTGCTTTTATTCAACCTTATCATCGTTTTGGTATGCAAAGAAAAAATAAAGAATCTCTCTTATGCTTACTTTCGTAAATAAAAACCATCATCAGCATGCAAAGGTTATCGTTCTTGAAGGAAAAATCCAAGCAACAATGTTTTTTCTTGTGTCTTGCTCTTTTGATAAAAAGAGTTTTTGCAATGATTTGTCGTATCATTCTTTTGTCAAGTAAAGAAAAAGTATAAAGCTCGTTACTTCTAAGCAATTACGGCTATTAAAAAAATCTACAACAACTTCCAAAGCACTATGTATGATGAAACGTAAGTATTGTGATGTGCCACAGAAAGTTACACCAATTCTCAATTTTATTACTTGATTTGTATTGACCCATAGTTTAGCAAACTTGAGTATCCACTAGAATATGAATGCAAGCTAGTAAATTAGTTTCTATATAATATCAAACTATTCTATTATACAGTGTGATTTATTTTCAAATACTTTTGAAGTATTCAAATTTAACAGATAGAAAGACGAGCCCAAGTTGGAATACGAAAGTTTTTTATTTTTCGAACTGCTCTTGGAGCTGAAAATATTAGCGGTTCAAACAGGTTCATATTAAGTGCACACATACTCATGCAGAAGGTATTTACCAATACTAGACCAAAAGGAAAACACTAATATTTACTATTTGATAGACTAGCATTCTGTCTAATTTGATCAGTTTCTCTTTTCACTAGGTTGGAAATTCAGAGCATGATTCTGTCTAGACTGAATATCCATAATCGTCCGTTTAAGACTCGAGGTAGTAAATTCAATAGCCTGCATACTCGCGTTCTGTTTAACCATTTCTACTTTGTTACAGCCGCAATCATTCCTTAGAAGTTGAATGATATCGGTCACATAAATAAAAACAATCAATGGTTTAACCTATAATGATACGATTTTACAATTTTTGATTGAAAACAAATTTCTTTGCAGTAATCTTAGAGCGATGACTTCATCAAATTGTTGTTTGACGTGTCGCAAGTGTGACGGCACTTGTTTTTGTCCTGGATGCAGAGCCTATTTCTGCGACGATGATTTTATAAGTCATCGGGGAATGTTAATTAATGAACTAGATGGACTTACAGTAGATCGGAATGATCTTCAAGAAAAAGTAAATGAGACCGCTTCAAATCTAGGATCTTGTCAACACATAACAGCAAAAATTGATGAATGGGAACGAAGAACTACCGAAAAAGTTAAACAAGCTGCTGAATTGGCTGAAAAACAGGTCCGAAAAATATTAAACTCTTAGCAAGAAGAAATTACTAGACGATTTGACAATCTATCACAAGAATTAAAGGAGCGAAGGGCTAAAAAAAGTGTTGTTGAACAGGATATAGCCCGATTAAGACAAGAAATAGATCAACTTAAGAAAGATTTAACAAAATTAGCGCAGACACCAACAATCGAATTGAATATGAAACAAAGTGATGAAATTAAGTGGGATCATATGATATGTGTCGAGGAAAAATCTATAAATGTTGATTATCAATTGCATCAGCTGGAACCAATGGGTAAGTACTTGAGTAGAATTCGAAATGAAAGTTTTAAACGTACTTGACTTCTTATTGAATAAAACAGAAGACTTTTATTTGATGTCGCTATCGCTATAAACTACCAAGTGTGATATGAGAAATAATAAACGTGAGCTTCTCTATTTAATTTTAACGAAAAACATTCTACACACACGTATAAAAGCATCGAATAACGGTCGACCTACTAACATACGCTTTTGATTCATTGTAAATAATGAATGAGGTATATGTCGATCATTCTAGTTCTTCACATTTTTATCTACAACAATCCCAAATTATTTAAAATATTCGAAAAAGAATCCTTCAGAGTATGAGAAGATATGAATCGATAATTTTTCATTTCATTATTACATGATTTATTAAAGATTATGACAAAAGATTCAAATCATCGTCATATACTTCGCATAGTATCCATATTCCTATAATTCTGTTGTACAACTGAAAAATGAATCGAGATCAATATATGTTATTGTATTTCTCATTACTATTTGAAGCATCCGATATTAATTAGTAATAATGAACTGGTTTGTCCGATGTCGAATATTTTTCAACCGTCCGTACCAACTCAAACATGAACCAACTAGATGACACAGAAATAGATATATACTATAATATCATTGGGATTTAAAATTTTTAATAATCTACAATCTAAATTTAAACTAGTTTCTGGCTAGCCTCACTGTCTCTTTAAATTTTCACTGAGTTCATATTTGCGTTTGAAGTATTCTGGCAAACTTTAAAGGTGAATTATTTAAGACTTCATCAAATTACAAAACATCAATCATGTGCATGTTTTACTAACTGTAGAAATTCTATGAATTATTTGTTAACCTACCAGTGAATGACATAATACAAATCTAAAAAGCTTAACTTTTTCACCAGCTTCAATCAAATATGCAATTTATAATAGCAAACTGATTAATTCTTGAACATAGGACATTTTTCACTGTTCTTCAGTCAAACACTCTACTTTATGAAGAACTTTCAAGAGTCACACCTACTATAGCATTCTTACAAAACAGAAATCATCGTCAGGCATATGACTACTTTAATAAAACAATATGTCAACCTTGGATACTTGAGATTTTGATATTGTTTGAAGACTTTGCCAAAATGACTAGGCTTAACAAAAATTTACATTGTTATCCTGTTTCTGCATTTGCTAATCAGAACGATTTAAATCCTATTAATTCTCTTTGGTATCCTTCATTAAAGGTCTCTGAAAAAGTTTCTACATATGCTTTTATGCTCAACAAGTTGCAGAATAAAAATAGTTTTCTTATAATTAACATGAAACAATGCTCCTTTTTATTTAGAGGAACAGCTACGCGCTGCAAGCGTTCTCAATACAAAGCTTCCCTGTAATGGACAGGCTTGTCCAAAATGTTATAACTGTTCACTTTTTATTTGAAATCTTCTGAGATAGGTATATCACTGATTAGGCTTTGTTGTCAACCGAATAAGCCACTACAACTCTGGCAAATGCACTAAAACGTTTTCATAAACCCTGAATTGGTAAAGAATTCCAATGCACTGAAAACTATACTTCAACTGCATGAGATATTTCAATAGTATAATGATCTTGATTATTCCATGCTGACTGATTTACGAGACTAAACAGGTTCACTCAATTCAATGTGAACTGCAGAACAACTATGAACAGAATCATTGGAAAATGTGTATACAATATCTATGTTCGCTTCAACACCTCTTCTCCTGACAATTTCAATCCAATCACACAAGAGTCACTGAACAGAACTATTTTGAGAAATATTCATTTGTGATGTGATGCTGAAACAACTGAAGAATCACGATTTATTGTCTGAGAAATCAAATCAATAGGTGAACAGAACTATTCTAAGAAATATTCATTTGTGATGTGATGTGGAGTCAACTGATGAATTTCGATTTATTTTCTTACAAATCAAATCAATACGCGTACGCATTCGTTGGACAAAGACTATTCTTTTGATTCGAGATGACCGGAAAGCGGGTTATTCGATAGCTCCAGTGTGTGGAACATACAGAAGTTGGATTCAGCAAGCGTATAATGCTTTCATTGCTTTTGAGTTTTTACATAATGAATGAAATGAAAGTCTTGATGTTAAAATCAGCATAATCTTTGAACGAAATATTCGTCGAAATTATTCATACGCTAGATTATTTAGATTTTTTTACTAGTGCCAAATACTATTTGGAGAGAAAGAAAGTTCTCGAATATGATGATGTTGACACATATTCATTGACGTTTTAATCTGTTCTCTGATTTAAAGCTTTCGATTAATCTATCAAAGTGATCATATTGTTGAAAAATAGAATGGTAGGACAAGTCCTGTAGCCGCGTAAACATCGAGCAATCGCTTAATTCGTAATTTTTATTCCCAAACAATCAGAATATAAAAACAAAAATCTGCTACTTGTACTTCGAGATATCGTTTTTCTACAGACCTTGGTATAATGCGATGAATCTCGCCTTATTTTCTTACAAATCAAATCAATAGGTGAACAGAAGTATCTTGAGAAATATTCCTTCGCGATGTGATGTTGAATCAGCTGATGAATCTCGATTTATTTTCTGAGAAATCAAATCAATATGTGCACAGAACTGTGATGTGAAATATTCATTTGTGATGTGATGTTGAATCGACTGATGAATCTCGATTTATTCTCTTAGAAATGAAGTCAATAGGTGAACAGAACTATCCTAAGAAATATTCATTTGTGATGTGATCCTGAAGCAGCTGATGCATCTCGATTTATTTTCTCAGAAACCAAATCAATAGGTGAACAGAACTATCCTAAGAAACATTCATTTGTGATGTGATGTTGAATCAACTGATGAATCTCAATTTATTTTCTTACAAATCAAATCAATAGATGAACAGAACTATCGTGAGAAATATTCATTTGTGATGTGATGTTGAATCAGCTGATGAATCTCGACTTGTTTTCTTTAAAATGAGCATAGCATCTGTATAGAGTCGTTGGCGTATTTTTGTTCGGCTGTTTCTTTTTATTTTTTTCAAGAGTTTCATTACTGCTATGATGCTTAAAGGTATAAGTTAATGAATAGGATGATGATGAAAGACATTTTTTCATCATTCGGTTTTGTGTTCGTCTTGTATCTTTCGAAGGAGTAAAAGTTTTAGAACAATAAATGAATGAAACGATCATGAGATACGTTATATTATATGAGATCCTTGCGGGGCTAATAATTTGTGGACGGTCATTTGTCGGGAGAAGCGTATTTGAATATGTGGATTTATGTTATTGCAAATGATGAAGCTGAGCATAATCAGGGAAACTGCTGCGTAAACATTTCCTTTTTTTGGATTACGGTCTCTGTCTTATTGATTTTAATACAATCTGAAAGAGAGAATAATTGATTTCTTTCGAGTGATGATTGCTAGTTTACGAGCTGTGTAACAGAGATAATGGTTAAATCCGGAATATGCGCTGCAATTCCTTTTGTTTCTAGTGATTTTCCATAGACAAGATTTATAATTTGGGTAAGCCCATGGAGACGCATCCATTTTTTTGGAAAGTTTCTTTTTCGATTTTTTTTAGTTCAACCTTTCGGTATACTCTAGAAAACACTTTTGATGGAAAAAAATATGATCCTTCTTGCCGAAAATATCGACTTCTGGTTGATTTTTTCGGAACGACTAACGTATATTTTCAGACATAGGGGAAACGCCAGGAAAGCACCTGAAACGTTTCTAACATATCTTTTTTAGAATTTTTTCATGCTGAGAACTATGAAAGCTGCCTGGAAACACTTTTCCTGAAAAAACGCGTGTGGGTGTGGTGGATTGCTATCTATCAACTCATACCAATATCCACACCCCTGAATTATCATCATCGTCTTCCAAATCAGCCATGATGTCACTATCCATTAGAGTATTTTGTTCTTCTTGCTCATTTAGATCATTGAATTCAACAGTGACAGTATCATCATTTTCATCGTCATGAAAAGAAGATTCTTCTGCCGTGGCTTCATCTTCGCCGGGGCTCTCATTAGCGTTTAATTCCATTGATGGACAAGTCATCATTTCCTTTCATTCAAATGCATGACATCTTGGACATAGCCAGCGTATTTGCTTGTCAGCCGCGTCATATCGAAAAACCAAAAACATGGATAGGCGTGTCGATGTCGATACAAACACTATTGCTTTAGGTACACGATTAGAATTTGCATTTTTTGTCGAATGTTCGCGATACTTTCGTTTGGGCATTGAGATACACTTTTGTAAAGAAATCAAAGAAAGTACTAGCTGGTAATCGACCCTTTCCAATATCCGATGATTCATTTCGCAATATTATCTATCCGAAGTCACGATATTTACGCATGAGATGATTCCACATTTAAAGATGTCCTTACAATAAGATTCAAAATTTATCCGTCGGTAGTATGTTGTCTCTTTTGATTATGTGGTCTCACTTCTATGAGGTCATCTGATGCTGTTTCTCTCGAGTTATGTGCGAGAAGTCATTAGTTTGGCACCACCCTAAGAGCAAAGTATGGCCAAGGTCGGTTCTTTGAGAAAAAAATTAAAACCCTTCAAATAAATTAGTGTCACTCAACATGACAAATGACAGTTATCGTTATTTTCAAAAGAAATAAGTCAGAATTCAAGACGCTCAACAGAAGTGTTCTAATTTTTTTTCAGGAAAAGTGTTTTGAGACAGATTTCATATTTTTCAGCATGAAAAATTTCTGAAAAAGATACTTTTTGGAAAATTTTTCCGTGTTTTTCTGGCGTTTTTCCTATGTCTGGCAATATACGTTAGTCGTTCCGAAAAAATCAACCAGAAGTCGATATTTTCGGCAAGAAGAATCATACTTTTTTCCATCAAAAGTGTTTTCTAGAGTATACCGAAAGGTTGAACTAAAAAAAATCGAAAAAGAAACTTTCCAAAAGTGAATGGGCCTCTATGGACTAGCCCATTGAAAAAATTTGAAATTTTCAAAACCAATCATAAATCTGCCTTCATATTCTCTTGAATAAAATCATTTAATAGTGGC